TTATTCTTTTTATTTTATTTTTTATTTTTTTATTTTTTTTTTATTTTTTATTTTTTATTTTTTATTTTCTATTTCTTATTTCTTATTTCTTATTTCTTATTTCTTATTTCTTATTTATTTTAGATGGTTCAAAAAGAAAGAAGGCCTCAACCTGCATGCGTATGAGATCAACAACATGGAAGTGTGGAGCAATGAATTTGAGGATCCTTCAGCAATGTCGATTGTTCCAGTCATGCGCATTCACTCTCCTGTTGCTATTAAACTTGATCACCTTCAAGGTATCAATGTTGTTATAAATTTACCAAGGCATTTAATCAATTAGTCTATTCATTTTTATCAAATTAAATATATTATCTGTTGCAAAAAATCGTTATGTCAGTCTTTCAAATGTTCTTTTTTTTCTTTTCTTTCTTTTTTTTTTTTTTGAGATGATGTTGGAAAATAGAAATTAACGTGATATCTATATACAAATATATGAAGTCTTTTATTTTTGCTGATGTAGATATTTATGATCGATTAATGCATTCTCAAAGGTAAATTATAAAAAAGATAAAAATATTATATTTATTTAAAAAAAAATTAATTGTAGGCATCTTCATTTTTGGCCCAAGCAGGAAAGGTATCCAAAAGATTGCGTCGAATTGGCACCCTCGTAACGACGATTCTTGTGGGTGTAGACTTGTCCACATTTTTGGAGAGAGTGTCCAGTTTATCGAACAGTTGGTTCAACTTTAAAGGTATTAAAGAAATATTCATTACAGTTAGTTTTTTTTATATGATTGTATTTTAACTTATATACCTTTTCACTTCTCCAATGTGGACGTAGACTTTTCCAAGTCCTCAACGAGCCCTGATAATGAATGTCATCCTCATCATCAGACATATAAGATGCCTTGATCATTCGGAGACATTCATTATAAGGCACGCCCAATTCTTCCGCAATCCTGGACCCTTCTTTGCTGAACTTTGCCAGTCTTCTTTTACATTTCTATAGAATATAAGGAGAAAGAAGTTAAATTTACTTTATCTTGTATTAAATTTTATGCTAAGTATATACTTACTCTATTTTTCCTGCTTCTAATTATTTCCTTTTTTTTTAGAGCATCTAATTGCTCCTGAGTGCTGATTTCGGCACGCGAATGCTTTCTTTTTTCCGTATCATAGACACTTCTAATGCGTGCCGAAATCTCTTTCCTTGCTCTTTCCCCAGGATTGTTGTTGCCTCTAACCTGGGCAAAGATAAAATCGAAGATCTGCTCGTTATGACCTCCATCTTTTAACGTAGATCTGGGATCAAATCTACGTCCACTTTGCTCGTAAGCATCGTGAATCTTGTCCTATTGATTGAATTGAATAACAGGTATTATATATTTTATTTAATAATGATTGTCATTATAATTACATAATAATAATACTTACGGTCATATCGGGATTCCTACCGATCTTTCTCTGATGATACAGATTTTGATTTTTTAAGTTTGTAATCTCTTCTTCCAACTGAGAGATTCTTTGGCTTTGAGAACCGATCTGCTCTTCAAGCTGATTTATTCTATTATCAGCATTAATATTGTTGCCACCAATAGATGCTGTTTGTCTAGAAGGATGCAAACGAGCAGTGGAAGAAGTGTTAAGAACAATAGGAGGATACTGTGAGCGAGACATGTTAAAAAGGGATTTTACTGGTAAAAAAATTGATTGAATAAAATAAAAAGTAAGTAATTGAAGAATAAATTATTTGTTGGTAAAGGTATTTATATGTTAGCCGTCTAGCATTATCCATTACTGCCAGAAAATTTCCTTTTTCGGACTAAATAAAAAGAAACTACTATATTTCTACGTCAGAGTCGCTTCCTTTTTTTTCTTTTCATTTACCGTTTTTCTTTTATCTTTTTTTTTCTTTTCTTTTCTTTTATTGTTTTTCTCTTATCTTTTCTTTTTCTTTTCTTTTCTTTTATCATTTTTTTCTTTACTTTAGATTAATGTTTATTTACTTACAATTATCATATTTTCTATCTATAGATGTTTATTTTGGTTATATTCAACGTAGTACAAAAACATAAAAACATTCTTATCAACGAGTTTAAACTAACTAGGTTTATTTCTTTTTTTTTAAAAAAAAAATAGTTTTATAGCAAAAGAGTCTTGTTTATATTGGTAGTAGCGTTTTCTTCTTTTTATACAGAGCATTTTTCAATGATATGTTAAAGGTAAGATAATAACTATTGTATATAACTCTTGTTCTTTATATTAACACATATACTGACTTGTCTATTATCGTTAATCAAACGCTTTTTAAACAGATAAACAAATGTATATAAAAAGGTAAAATAAAATATAACATTTATCTGTTAATTCCAAAAGTATACTTTCTTTGTCTAATATAAGATATACCAATCTTATCTTTTATTCTCTTTTTTTAGGACTTTTTACTTTTTTTTTTTCAAATAGCTTTTGTCCTTTTTGAAAACCCCTTTTTTCTTTGTTTTCGGTAAGCATTTTATTCTTTTGAATACCAATATTCTTTATTTACTAACTAATCAGTTTTGTTTATTATAGATTGTTTATTTTGCTTCTGTTTAACTGCTATAATTTAGCTTCCTGGACCCCCCTGTCATTATTATCTCTATCCTTTTCTCTTATCCATTTGTCACTATTTGCAGCGTATCTGTACTGTTTCTTTTTAAAGATGCAAAGGTAAGTACAATCGTATTTTCTATTATCAATTGCAAGAAATACCCTTTTTTTTATTATTATTTCAAAAGCAATTTATTATTTGTAATAATTCATTTGCTATATATTTCCATTATTATTATTATTACTATTCTAAATGTAAATAAAGCCACATTTTATCTAAACAAACGATATATTTATTTTTAAATAACGTCCAATAAACAAGGCAATAATAAAAGCCTAATATGTATTAAATGTATTTTATAAGCCAATAAGTAATAAAGATCAAACGTAAATAAACGTTATTTATTCTGCAAAATACCAATGATGGTTCATGGTTTTCAAAGAAATAACCAATCAAATGTAAAAAGTTATACGTTGTATGTATGGAGTACTATACGTCGTACGCGAGTACGCCATATAATACAACATATATGTAGTACGCGAGTACGCCATATAGTACAACATATATGCAGTACGTGAATACGACGTATAGTACGACGTATATATGTAGTACGTTCGTACTGCATATACCAGCGTACTATATGTCGTACTCGCGTACGCCATATAATACTCCATACGTACAACGGACAAATTTTTTGCAGTGATAAAGTTTTGAAAATTTTATTGTTTCCTTTTAAGAAATAAAAAAGTACATAGATATATGAATACATGTATCATAATATTCAATTGTCAAAAATTATACGTCATTTTGAAAAGAATAAAATATGAAGAATGAAATAATAATATGTTTCCTTATTTCAATGATACTTGACCTTATCTAACATCCTAAATGTTAAAGAAATTACTTGACAAAATCATTATTTCATAAACAAATAAATCGATTTTAAAATGACAAAAAAAAAAAAAAAAACAGCTTCCTAATATAAGTATGAACATTTTGCATAAAAACTTGATAAATAAGATATATGAATTATTAATAATAATAATAAAAAGTTAGTAGATCATTTAATTATTATTATTATTTTATTTATTTTTTTATTTTATTTTTTATTTTATTTTTTTTTTAACCTTTCCCAAGGGATTTTTTTTTAATAAGATAATGAAAAAGGAAAAACAATCTTTTAATCCCTGTGAAAAACCCTTTCAACTTGAAACAGATACTGATTTGGATGTATTTATTCATTTCACTAACAACTCAGCTGATAGTAGTCAACAATATCAGCAAAGTGAAAATATATCAGGTTTTTCAGGTGAGAGCGATACATCAGGAAATAATTCTACTTCATCAAGAGAAGCTAATTATGTAGCAGAGGATGATAGCACAAAAGATGAGGAACAAATCGAAAAACCTTCAGAGGACGAAGAGTTTGGCCAAATCCCTATTCGTCCTCGGCAGAGATTTACACAACGTGAAATTGATATACTTGAAAAAGTGTATAAAGAACATAAGCGTCCTAGTAATGAAATAAAGCATGAATTAATGAATGCATGCAATACTACACTAGAGCGTATCCAGGTATGGTATCAAAATCGTCGCGCAAAAGAAAGAAAGTCCAGACCAAAGTATGGTAACACCTATACTGATGCACACACGACAAACAGTAACGTTAGTAATAACGAAAAATTGAGTAATATTGATGACAATATAGTAATGGCCGATGGAAGCGACAGCAAAAAGCGCCGTAGACCAAGTATTGAAAGATTGACTTCTACAAAAGCAACTCAATATTCAAAAGCGAAGAAGGCTCCTCAAAGTTATAAAAAGCCGGACTCCTTTGATTTTGAAGGCCAAATACAACTCATAGAACCGTCTTCTGGGATTAATGATATGATTAATTGTCCTCAATATCCTTTACTTCATTCTTCTTATTATCCAGATAATTTATTTGATTGTAATCGTATGCAGGGTCTGTTTTGTAGCTATAATATGTCATTTACTGATGAATCTATATCCAATGCTTTCTATTCACTAAATTTTTCTAATCCAGGAATATTCCCTTATACTTCTTCAATGCAACCCCTTATGCATCAGAATTTGCCTTCTAATACTAGCTCAACCACAGTTCAACCCTATTTGAATAAACTTCAACAGTCTTATTCTATGTCTGGATTAAATCAATGCACAAAGCATCAAAATAGTTTAAAAGATGAAGACACTACTCAGTATTCAGGTAAAGAAAAAAATAATTGTTTCATTTTAATATATAATAGTAACTCGTTATATTCTTATATAAAAGATAACCCTATTACTAGTTACTTATCTGATAACGATGATATTTACGATCAAAAAATGTCAATTATATCAGATTCACAGAATACACCCAAGCAAGGTAAGAAGAAAAGAAAATTTTATAATCATATCATTCAATATATGTGTACACATACATACATACATACATACCTACATACATTTATATACATAAAACCTAATATTATTTATCAACAAAAATGAAAAAAAAAGACAGGAAAGGGAAATCAAGAATATATGAAAGGAGGCAGTAAAAATAAAGGGGCATATATTTGATCTTAAACATAGCAATGGTAGTACATATAAAAATATTATGGATTTATTCATTTAATAAATAACATTTATGAATTTATAACTATTATATGGAATATTATGTATTATATAAGAAAGCACTTTTCATACTAGAGTTTGTACAGTTTGTATTACTAATATATCATATGTACAAATTAAATCTAGAGTGTCATTTAGTAATTTTTATGTATTCTATAATTTGGGAGTTTTGGAATGTCAAGATTTATCAATTATTTTGTCAAAATACTTTAGTGCTTACGGGTATAAGATATATAAGTATACAACACTTATAGTAAAGTGTATGAAGAATAAAACTAAAGGTACTTTATAAAAAAAGAAAAGACAAGAAAAGGGATATTTCATTCAAATATACTATTTATAAGGTTAAGTTACAAAAGTATCCTCCAAATCAAAGAAAAATGGTATAAAGATATAGTCTAATTCTTATGATGTGACGCATAAGTCAGAGAATACTACTCTAGTCGTATGGCCTATACTTCTTGGTGAATGAGTCATTCACAGTCAGAGATAAAGTATCTTCCACTGTCTCAGATTTATAGCATATATATAATTAAGAAATAGTCACATTTTTAGCGAGGGAAAATGCATATATCATGTAAATACACAATAATAATAAAAAAAAAGTACATATGATAAGTAAAACTAGTAACGCTTCTTTATAATCAATTGAATTCTATTTATTAAACAAGTGAGTTGTTCTATAACTTGCTTTGATTTAAAATCATTTATTTTAATTATTTACTTTAATTTTACAATGTCAAAATGGTTTTCTATTGGCTTATTTCTTTTTCAACGACTTAGTCAGAAAAATGTCATAATGTTATTTACAGTCACTTAATCTTAATCATTAAGCTTCTCTTTTGTTATTTAAAATAGTTTAGATATCAATCTTCAGAAATGACCACGCTACTCATTGATAATTACGACAGTTTTACTTATAATGTATACCAATATTTATGCGCTCAAGGCGCTGATGTCGTTGTTTATCGTAATGATAAAATTACCATTGAGGAAATCGAAAAACTTGCACCTTGTAATATTGTAATTTCCCCTGGACCTGGTCATCCAGCTCATGATGCTGGCATCTCCCGTGATACCATTAGTCATTTTGCTGGCAAAATTCCTATTCTTGGTATTTGTATGGGCATGCAGTGTATGTTTGAAGTCTATGGCGGTACTGTTTCTTATGCAGGTGATATACTTCATGGTAAAACTTCAGCAATTAAGCATGATAGCCGTGGTCTCTTTAAGGGTATACCTCAAAACAACTTGGTTACTCGTTATCATTCCTTAGCTGGCATGCCATCTACTATCCCTGATTCACTTGAAGTCACAGCTACTACGATAGATGATGTTATTATGGGCGTCCGCCATAAAGAATACACTGTTGAAGGCGTTCAATTCCATCCTGAAAGTATCTTATGTGAAAATGGCCATGTTATGATGGCTAACTTTTTGAAACTACGTGGTGGCACTTGGGACGAAAACCCTGGCGCTGGTGTCTTGCCTAGCAAATTACGTGAGACTTCTCTTTCTAGAAATAATGAATCTAAAAAATCTTCAGTAGGTACTTGTTCTGAAACGATGATTGGAAACACAAATACTGCTCCAGGTGGTGATGTACCCTCTATCCTTACTCGTATTTATGCTCAAAGAATTAAGGATGTACAGGCAGCTAAAGAAGTCCCTGGTCAAACGATGAAAGATTTGGAAAAGCTTTTAGAACTTCATATCGCTCCTCCACTTAGGGATGTTGTTTCTCGTTTAGCCCAACAAACGCCTTCCCTTTTAGCTGAGGTTAAGCGTGCATCTCCTTCAAAGGGTAATATTGATGCTGCTGCAAACGCTGCCGAACAAGCTTTGCAATATGCTTTAGCTGGCGCTAGTGTCATTTCTGTATTAACTGAACCCAAATGGTTTCGTGGTACTATTCATGACATGCGCCAAGTTCGAGAAGCGATCTCTAATCTACCTAATCGTCCTTGTGTTTTGCGAAAGGATTTTATTGTGGACCGCTATCAAATTGCTGAAGGTCGTCTTTATGGTGCCGATACTATTTTATTAATTGTGGCCATGTTGAATGATGAGTTATTACATGACTTGTACAATTATTCAAAATCACTTGGTATGGAACCATTAGTTGAAGTTCATAATGCTGAAGAAATGGCTCGTGCTAATGCACTTGGTGCAAAATTAATTGGTGTCAATAATCGTAATTTACATAATTTTGATGTTGATATGGAGACTACTTCCCGTTTGGCCAAGATGGTTCCTGAAGGAACTATGCTTTGTGCTTTATCTGGTATTACTAGCAGGTCTGATGTCGAGATGTATTTAAAAGAAGGTGTGCAGGGTGTGCTTGTTGGTGAAGCATTAATGCGTGCTTGGAATTTAAAAGCATTTGTGACTGAGCTACTTGGATTAGAAAAGAAAGACCCTGTAGTGGCTTCTAAAGAGCCAAATCGATCATTAGTTAAAGTGTGTGGCATTTCAACTGTTGAAGCAGCTATGGAGGCAGCTAATGCAGGCGCTGATTTAATTGGCCTTATCTTTGCGGAAAAATCAAAACGTAAGGTCTCAATTGAAACGGCTACAGAGATTGTTAAAGCGGTTCACTCAATAAAGCCTGAATCGACCAGAAAGTGTATGTCAAGCGCTGCATCATCAACCAACTGGTTTCAAATTCACCGTCACTTATTAGAAAATCGTACAAGGAAGCCTTTAGTGGTTGGTGTATTTGTGAATCAAACTATTGAATATATGAATTATGTTGTTTCTGAAGTTGGTTTAGATCTTGTTCAGCTACATGGTACGGAGTCAGTAGAATTGGCTCGTTATTTGCCTGTGCCTGTTATAAAAGCCTGTCATATTGATAATAGTACCTACAATCATAACCAAATTCCCAATTTGACACAGCCTGGAAATCATCATTATGTATTACTTGATGCAAAGGTATCTAACTTACCCTCTGATCAGCAAGGTGGACAAGGTGTTAAGTTCGATTGGTCTATTGCAAAAGATATAGTGAATCACAAACAATTTGAGTTTTTGGGAAACAAAGATTTCCCTATAATTTTAGCTGGTGGACTTGATCCTACCAATGTAGTATCTGCAATTCAACAAGTTAAACCATGGATGGTGGATGTCTCGTCTGGTGTAGAAACAGACGGCATCAAGGATTTAAAGAAGATTCGCACATTTATTGAAATTGTTAAATCAACAGAGTATAAACATGAATAAATAAACTATGTATAATGAAGTTGTATATATAAATTCATGTATACAATTTTTTTATTTGTATTTATTATTTGTATTTAAGATTATTTCTTTTCTTCCTCTTCCTCAGGGGGGATAATCTCATTCTTTACCAATAAATCTTCAAGATCACCAGATTGATGCATGTTCAATAAAATATCACAGCCACCAATAAATTCTCCCTTAATATAAACTTGAGGGATTGTAGGCCACTCTGAGTATTCTTTGATGGCTTCTCTTAATTCAGGATCTTCTAAAACGTTGAATGCAGTAACTTTAGTATTGAAGTCAACACCTTGAACTTGCATAATCTGAATAGTTGCACGACTGAAACCACACTATTATAAATGTTTAATTTAAATAATTCTTTCTTTAATCATACAAATCCATCTTACCATAGGAGCATCAGGTGTACCCTTCATAAACAAAACTACGTCGTTTGATTTAATGTCCTAAATATAAAACTGTGTTTAATTAATTTGACAGTTACTTGTGAATTATTAATCAATGTCTACCTTATCTAAACGTTCTTTCATTTCAGTTGAAATCCAACGAGCAAATATAGAAGTAGTTGGTGAACGCAAGTTTCTAATGGGACGAAGGAATGCAGACTATATATATTAAAAAAAAAGGTAATACAGTCATAATTCAATTTTCAAGTTAATAATCATTTTAATGAAGGTAAAAGAATTAATTCTTTAAAGCCATAATAAAACATAAACTTACTGATCTAGTAGCAGTACGAAGGAAACTCATTTTGTAAAATTATTATAAGAAAGCAAAATTAAAAGAAAAGAAAAAAAAAAAAAAAAAAAGAAAAAGAAAAAGAAAAAGAAAAAGAAAAAGAAAAAAAAAAAAAAAGAAAAAACTAACAGGGGCATCATGACTAAGACTACTCACAAAATTTAACAAAATCGTCTATCCAATAAGAATTTCATTGTTTTTAAAGAGACTATACAGCGAACGAAAGTTCCAGTGTAGTAATTCAAAAAGTTTGCTTTGTTTTTAATGATAAACTTGTCTATAAAAGCTTAATAGAGTATGACATTGTTGTATTTGATAACAAAAAAAAATGCAAGCTTTTTTTTTATTAGTAATTACTTTGAAACTCAAGATTTTTCTTCTCGTTTTTTTTAATGCTAGTAAGCACTATCAAAAAAAAAAGATCTATTGCTTTATTAGTGACATTATCAAGAAATAGATCTGAAAACATCAAATTATATATTGGAGCATAGAATTATCTGTAAATCTTACTTTAGGTACATAATGAAAAGAAAGGGTAAAAGAAACTAAAATAACATATTATTTTAAATGCTTAAGCGGAAGGTTCAGGTGTATTATGATAACTATCAGACTGGATAACGATATCATCATCCAGAAGAGAATCATGATGTTGTGTATGATCATTTGTAAAGTCTATAGACTGTGCTGGTGATGACACCACGCTTATATCATTTATATCACTTGTGTTAGTACTTGTATTATAAGATTTCATTGCCTCTTCGTATTCTTCAAGTTCGTGTTTATACAAATCATAATATTTCTAACAACAGAATTAGATCTTCTTTAAGAAGAATGAATAATAAAAGCTTACCTTTTTTTCTTCTTTTGTAAGGCTTTTCCATTTTTGACCTAGAAGTCTTGTTACTTCACTAGGATTTTCAGCGGGACATTCATCTTTTATCTTGTCTCTTTCTAATCGACAAAACAAAAAGAAAACATTGCCGGGCCCTTTTGGCGCATTAGGGTCTTTCTTTTTACGTTGAGGCTTATTAGCAATCAATTTCTCTGATCTATCATGCTTATTATTGCCCTGAATCTAATAATAATAATAATAATAATTATTGTTTATATCCCTTTCCTCCCCTTTTTTTTATGCTTTACACTGTCCAATTCCTCATGAGGATAAATTTCTGAGTCAACTTCTGAATTATCACTATTGTAATCTGGAGGAAGATGAGTAGATTTCTCCATTCGATCAAGTAAAAACCTATTATCATACGTGAAGCTAATTATTTTTAATTTTTTTTTATCAACTTACGTTCTCTCCAGTTTTAAATGTCGAACACTTTTTCGAGCTTTAAACAATTTAATGTTAAGCGTGTTGTTTTCCTGGGTCATAGATAAACATTTAATTTCATGTGAAAGAACTTTTGCATCTTTTATTAAGATGATCTTTATTCCATTTAAAAAAAAAGGGGAAAAATAGATTATATACCTCTTCAACATCTCTAATTCTTTTTCTTAATTCTGTTAGCTTCTGTTTGTATTTATGATCTATGAATCATTTAGATGGAATAATTAAAATTCATAAAAATATATTAGAAACCTTCAGCCATGTTTTTAAACTTAAAAAAAAAAAGAAAAGAAAAAAAAAGAGGAGGGAATGTATTATTTTTATGTCTTCATTTCGTAAGCAAAGCTGGATTATTTTTTTTTTTTTTTTTTTTTTTTTTTTTTTTTTTTTTGCTGAACAGCCTATAAAATTGTATAATGCATATCATAATACATTCTAATAAGTCAGTCAGTCAGTCAATAAATTTTAAAGCTAATATCTAATGTTTAATATTTAATATTTTATAATGACAGTCTAACATAAAGTTTATACATACATATACATACATGTATAAAGAAAAAAAAAAGAAATAAAAAAGGGGGATATATTTATACTTATATACAGATATGTGGTATTAATAACCACTAAAACGTCTAATAGATTCACCCCAAATCTTTAAAATCAACATAAGTAACATACCAAACCATGAAAGACATGCAAACAACGTTGCAGTCCAACCAGTACCAAGACCAGCAATCATGGGTGTAGAAATGATAGTTAGAATACAAGCAATTCCGAATCGAACAAAATTTACAGCAGCTGTAACAGTTGCACCACGACCAGGAACAGAGTCAACTAGGTAAGCAGTTACTGTGGTCACTACCTGGACATTTCCAAAACATTGAATACCAAAGGCAACGATAGCTATCCATATATTCAAATGATGTTCAACTACCCAACCAAAGAGTAATAAACCTAAAGGATTAAAAATAAAACCTGCAATCCAAATATTGACAGTTAAACGATCCTCAGTTCTAGGAATACCACCACGAAGTCGACGTGAACGTAATAAAAGACGATCTGATAAACGACCACCTACTAGAGCTCCACTTAAATTACCAATACCGGCACCAAGATAACATAGACCTGTTTGCCATGAGACTAATCCATACGTTTTACTAAAAGCAGTAGGAAGAATAGATTCAGTCGCAAACATGGCACCAAAGAAGATACCAGCAGTAATAGATGACATGAAAATAAAGGGATGGCGTAAAAGTGCAAACGCAGCAAAGGGATTAAACCTTTTCTTTGGGAATTGTTGATTTTCTTTAATAACCGTTTTTTGATACTCTTTCTTGTCGATTTGGTTTTTATCATTCATTACAGTAGCTATAGATTGTTGACTAGAATTATCTTTTTCATCAATAGTAGACACATTAGATTCATCATCACACTTGCTATTCTGATCACTTGATAGTGATATCCTTTCATTTGTAGCAATAGGAAGTTCTACATCAAACTTAGCATTATCACGATATGTTTCTGGTGTAAAAAGAAAAGTAATAATCAAGATAAAAAACCCAAATGCGAAACAAAACCAAAAGGTAGCTCTCCAACTTAAATTACTCATAATGAGAAAACCACCAATAATTGGACCTAGCAATGGACCAAAAATGACACCAAACATGTATTTACCAAATGCAGCTCCACGTTCTTCAATAGGATATAAATCAGCAATATAACCAGCTCCAAGAGATTGACCACTAGAAACACCCACTGATTGAATACAACGAACTACAATAAGAGCCCAGATATTATTTACAAAGGCAGCACCAATGGATGTTACTGTAAAAATAAACATAGCAACCAAAAATAAAAAACGGCGAATATAAAAATATTCAGAAATAGCTGCCCATATAACAGGTGCAATACCTAAAAATAAGATATAAAGAGCTGCCGTTAATGTAGTAGCAATAGGTGGTGCATGTAACTCAGCTGTGACATAAGGAAGACCTAAAAATCGAAAATATTGGTTTGATCTTCTGTTACTGAGTATTCTATATATAAATCAATATATATGAATATATATTTACCTGGAAAATAAATTGTACTAGCAAATCCCCCAGTACAACCAACAATAGAAACACATGCAATAATCCATAATTTCATTGAAGGCTTTAACAAACGAGGATCTTCTTCGACAGATGGTGCAATTACACATCTTTTTCTAAGAAATTCTATAATTGAGGATTGAGTTGATATAGATCCTACTTCATGTTTATTATTTTTCATAACCACCAAAATAGGTTAATTTATATAAATCCTTTTTTTTTTTTAATACAAATCAAGCCAATATAAATATTTTAAAAAAGTGCGGAGTCTATATTTGTTTAAATGACAAAAGTAAAACGCTTTTTTCAATTTGTCTCATAGAAAATTTCTAGAATTTTGTATTATTTGATTGGTTAAAAAAAGCTTATAATAGAAAAAATGGGTGGTTTTTTTTTATGTACGTTCTCTTGTAAAGTTTTCAATTTGAAAGACAAACTTCGAGTAAAGAGGAGAAAAGACTCATATTATCTTATATATTAAGTTTCTTTTATTAAGCATTTATTTTTACACATGTAGAAATCATTTTGTCTTCTTTTCAATTATCTTTTTTAATTGTAATATTTTCAGATCTAAGAATAATTTTAAACCAAGTTATACAAAATGCTTTTGTTTAAAACCTTTTTTAGAAATATCATTTCAGATTTGGACGATCTAAAAAAAAAAAAAAAAAAAAAAGCGAACGATAGTAGTAAGCTTTCCCATGTGATGAAGTCAATGCTTTTGAATCTTGATATTTATTATAACTACTGTAATTTATATACATCAAATCCATAATTGATTATATCCACTTATTCTTGAATTATACAATGGCTAACTATTTACAGCCTTTTGTTTGAACTCGATTGCTTACTTTATAAAAAAACGTCCCTTGATATTGTTCATAACCTTGTCTCAAAGTCTTTCTCTTGGCTATGTGTTGATAGCTGACATTGGTGTTATTGATATGCTCTCTTTCTTTATAATTATTAATGTTTTTACTCTTTTTCTAATTCTCTCTCATTAACTCACTTTTCACTCTTTAAATGTTTTTAGTTTCTTGATCTATTATATCGAGCTGATCCGGGCAATACAATATACACTCCATACTATGTACTACCCATATTAGGTCAAATTTCCTAAAAAGAGAATATGGTTTTTTTTTGTTACCATATCTCCGGATGTCCGATAATATTGAATATCAGTTGTTTCGTTGAAGTCTAGTATGCAAAATCCTAAATGACCGACTTTTAAGGTCAATGATGAATAAATACTTCACTTATAACCTTATTTAGGGCTATAATATATTTATAATTATACAAAACTTCTAATACTTTGCTGATATCAATGATGCTTCTCGCTATGTATTACATTCTAGTAATTTCTTCTATTCCAAGAAAGTTATGAGTTCAAATAGCTTAACCATGTCTATATTTCTAGTAGGCAAAGGAATAAATTAGATTCCACTTTTGTATGTTGAGTCTCTATTAATAATATAGCTAATATTTCTGAATTCTTTTTGTTTATTTCTTAGTAAGAGCTTTCATTGTTATTCAAACTTAAAGATCTTTTCAAATCTGCTTCTTACTGTTATTAACATGATAAAGCAATGTATACGCGAAATAATAACATCGTTATATGAAGTTACACATTATGGAAGGAATAGAATGGAGCGATAAGATTCATTTGAGTGTCATATACCAATAAAAGGGCTATCTATATATTCATACTATAAATCTATTTACCAGTTGTTATAAATATATTTAAAGTTTTTTTTTTTTTTTTTTTTTTTTTTTTTTTTTTTTAATAACAAGTAATTTAGGAACAATAAATGCTATATTCTTTGACATATTGCTTAACAGAATGTACATTATAATTTTATTTCTGTTAATTTTTATGTCAAACATGTATATCAGAACAAATAATCAGTAGGCAAGGATATATTATTACATAAGCCAAAAAAGAAAAAAAGAAATAGTATTTAATAGTTCTTTTTTATAGCGTATGATCTACATTGTAGAGATTGATTCACGATAAACTCAGATAGTTTTATTGAATATGGATATACTCTAAAAAGATTTATAAAGAATAAGAACGTCCCTCCTAGATCTCCTTTTTTTTTTATTTAGCTTAGCTTCTAAGTCATTATATATATATATATTTATATATTTGTCTTCTTTAAGATTATTCTTAAGAATAGTATTAGAGTAAGGTTTGAAACATCAGCCCATGTCGTTATGTTTACTCTTATAATTGTATAGCTCTACAGATAGAATTATAAGAGTTATAAATTCAATAATTACAACGCACATATAAAACAACATGTATTGCTTTTGTTAACATTATTTTACTACTGCTAAAATTGATTTAGAACAAAATACAGGAATGACTTATCGTAATTCCCTACCTTGCTTTTCTTTAGCATTTAGAGGAAGAAGAATTATGGTTATAGGAGGCTTGTAAATCAATGTTTAGTAAATACTAGTCATTTTATATGAAGAGTATAACTATGAAAAATAAAGGGAATTAAAGCAAGAAGGGACAAATAGACTTGGTATTATACCAATAACATTTTATAATCACGGAGTAAATTATATAATATAATAAAGACTTTTACAATACATGTCTCTTTATAGCCACATCACTAAGTCTTTTTATAAATCTTTAGATGTATATCAAATATTTAAAAATATACTGTCCTATATCCAAATTATAAGTAAAGTATTTGTACACCCAACAGCGTATAATAACTTGATAGCAGCAGTCAATAATATAGAAATAAAAAAATGCCTTATAATTTAGTTAAAAAAAAAAAAAAAACGGTGTTTAAAATTAAATGTGCGAGTAGTGCGAATCACCAACTAGTTTACAACTGACAAACTAAGCAGTTAATAAAATGAACAAAATAGCTAAGCAGTAAAGATCTTTCTTTTAAATCCATATTGCATAATGGGTAATATATCAAAACATATATTCATCCATCCATCCATTAGAATTACTAAACTGATAAGACATTTATTTTTTTTTCTATAAAATTAGCTGTTGGCAAGAACAAGTAAGGACGAAATTTCCAATTCTCTCAAAAATGTCCAAATTAATTGTGTTCAATTCAATAGGCGTCTCAGTAAAGGAAAGAAGGGCTTGAAGAAGAAGGTGTAAGTAACAAATGCAGTCAACATTCAACTAGTTTGCACATGAATCTTTTATTTTTTCTTTCAGTTAAAATTTATAAATAAGGAACTATCAACAGCATTTATTTATTTTATTTTTATTTCATCACATTCAACTTTTACAGTTATTCGCATTCGATATTTTACATGTTGTATTTCCAGCAAATTGTAAATTACCTCATCGTTTATAATCAGCCATATATAGACTAAAACTATACTACAATCAACAAACATAATAGTAGTAAATATACATATTTAATCTATAGATGATCTCAGCATTTTCCTTTATTTTTTTTAATTATGCTTACAAGAAAAAAGAGATGTTCATGTGCAAACTATTTGATGAATAAGATTAGAAGAACAGAATATGGCTAACAACTTTTCTTTTTTTAAAAAAAAATTATTAGCGTCGACCCCTTCACCCGTAAGGACTGGTATGATATTAAAGCCCCCTCCATGTTTGATGTTCGTCAAGTTGGTAAGACTCTTGTCAACCGTACTCAAGGTCTTCGTAATGCCAATGATTCCCTTCAAGGCCGTGTTGTTGAAATGTCCCTTGGTGATCTCTCCAAGGATGAATCTCGTGCCTTCCGTAAGATTCAATTGAAGGTTGATGAAATCCAAGGCAAGAACTGTCTCACCAACTTCTACCGCATGGATATGACCACTGACAAACTCCGTTCCATGGTCAAGAAGTGGCAAACTCTTATTGAAGCTTTTGTTGACATCAAAACCACTGATGGCTATCTTGTCCGTCTCTTTGCCATCTCTTTCACTGCTCGTCGTCGTAACCAAATCAAGAAGACTACTTATGCTCAATCATCTCAAATCCGTCAAATCCGTAAGAAGATGTTTGAGATTATGACTGAAGAAGCTACTGCTTGTGATCTCAAGGAACTTGTCACCAAGGTTACTTCTTCTGCTTCTCAATCTGCTCAAGATGCTATTGCTGTCCGTATCGAAAAGGCCTGTCAAGGTATCTATCCTCTTCAAAACACTTATATTCGTAAGGTCAAGATCCTTAAGGCACCCAAGTTTGATGTCTCTGCTCTCTTGGCTCTTCACGGTGGTGCCGCTGCTGCTGGTGAAGATGTTGGTTCTAAGGCCACCAAGGATTTTGTTGAACCCCCTATTTTGGCCTCTGTTTAATTAAGCTAAATAAAAGAAAAAGCAAACCCTTTGCAGAAATATATTATGCAAATTGGAATCTTCAAATAGTTTCAATATATTTGTTTTACAAAATTATTTGCTATGTATATATTATTTTATTCAATTTTTTTCATGGAGCTAATATTATAATATTACAATAACTACTACAATCAAGCTATAACTAACCTTTTTTTTTATTATTCACTGATAATAATGATTTGGAACAATTTCTAGATAGTTACAGTCTAGATCTGATATCAAGTTAATGAAATATTATTTAATCTGATAATAGAAAAAAAAAAACTCAGTAAATTAAGCCGAAATATCCATAGATGTACCGCATTAATTAGAACGTATATTGGAATACCAATGTGTAAAGCAATAAATGTATTAACTTAAAATATCAACATACACATGTAATAAATGTACACATATATTATTTGTCTTTGCATTTTCTTTTCTTTTTTACTATATTTTTATTAGTCTAAAAAAAAAAAAAAAGATATATTTGAGTCAAGTGCCTAAAATGCATAAAAATTGCGTACCTGAATTAAAAGAATATTCAATTTTTGGCCGAACTATAATGTATTCATCCATAATGATATTGACCTTTTACATTAATAAATATTTACAGAAGAAGAATTAGAAGAAGTTTTACGTTTACTTATCTAATGTTTCTATTATGTAATCATTTGATTTGATTTATTATAACAAAAGCCAAATATGTAATATTTCAAATTGTATATTAATTCTTGGTATTAATAAAAAAAAAAAATCTATACTTTTTATTATTAACAATTATTCTTTTGTTGTTCCTCTCTAATCTTATCTAACCATAATTTTCTAATAGAGTCAGTAGACGCTATTAAAGTAGTAGATAATGCTGTGTTTGTAGCACTTTGGAACGTAATCGGAAATATTTCTTTTGTTTCTGGGAATGTATTGGATGATATCTTGTTATAAATAGTTGATTTTGTTGATGAGGCTAGCATATTTATAATTTAATTAGTAAGAAGAAAATATAAAGAAGGACTAACCTAAGTTTGGTATAGTTGCAAATAAAGTTTTCATTGAGATTGGCTTAACAAAAAAAAAAAAAAAAAAAAAAAAAAAAAAAAAAAAAGATTAATTATACATTATAAGAGGAAAAAAAAAAAAAAAGTACATGCCTTCTATAAAATACTTTACCTTTTGATAAATTTTATAATATTCTAATCCATCTTGCTTTTTAATTTTACAAAATACTAGATAATGATCAAATAGAAACAATTGAATATCCATGGAAGAACGATTCTCAATAATAGGCGATGTCGTTACTGCATTATTATTTTTAACGTTGTATAAGCTTAAGCGTTTCATTTTACCCCGCATAAGAAGTTTACGTTCTGGATCATGCAAATTTAATTCCTAATCATCACTGTTAAATCTTTTTTTTTTATACATGTATATAATCCCACTGTAAGTTGATTATACTTTACAATTCCTTTTGTAATCATGATACGGGATGAGATTTGTTCTAAATGAAATGCATTGTCTGCTAATCCAGCTTGTTTATTCAATTGTACTAAATATTCTGTTACTTTTTGAATTATTTTTGGAATATCATAATAATCTTGGTTATCTTTTGGTGTCAATTGATGAATAGCGGTTAACAAAAGATTATATCTGCCTAATCTTGATGTGGGCTTTGTAAGATATGCGTTTAGTTCTAATCTACGAGATTCAGGGCATCTTTCTACTTTCTAATGATAAAATAATCAGAAAAAAAAAAAAAAAAAAAAAGAGAGAGAGAGAGGGAGACTTATTTTTAATTTTTTTTTTTCACCTGTACAAATTGTTGAAATCTAGGATTTTGTTTTTTCTCTAATTCGTACTTGTATTTACCGAAAATTTGATGAGCTCCATAAATAACAAAAGGGCTAAAATTTTCGACATGTCTTAACATAATATCACTGATACATGGTATAACTGAGTGCTTGTCTTGTCTCATATTTAATTCTCTTGAAAGTGTAGTACTAATATGCTCAATATCTAATATATTCCAGAATACATCTTTAATAAATTCCATTCTTTTCTCAGTGGGTATAATATCATTTTTTTGAAGAGGTTGTATCCAAAACTAGATAGAAAAAAAAAAAAGAAGCAAAGATTAAAATTATTATTATTATTATTATTATTATTTCTACATACTTCACGAATATATTGTAAATCTTTAGCAAAATCTTCTTCGGTATAAATAAGTTCATAAATACATTCTTGACGCTTTTTTTCAATATCATCTGTACTCATAACAATATTGATAGGTACCGAGTGCCTCCATAATGATCGTAACTGTTTCTATTCATTATTAATAAAAGATATAAGTCAAATATCTTTTACAATTATATATTTTGCTTTTATCACCTCTTGCTCAGTTCTAAATAAATGTGAACTTAAAGGACGTTGGAAACTTTTCTATAATATACAGAAAAAAAAAAGCATTATTTTTATAATTATATATAACAATAATGCATATACATATATTTATGTAAATATATATACCTGCTTTTGTGTCATCATTCTTGGACAACTGATACTATAGCATGGAGTATTTTTTGTACATGTAGGCGAATAGCAATCTGTCAACATGGAAAAAACTCCATTTATTGGCACCGTTTCACAAATAAGTGGTACTAAAAATAATAAAGTATTATGAAAATTAGCTTTATTTTATGTTAATATGATAAATACCTTGTTTCTTATAAGATTTCCTAAGTGGAATTAATTTATTAGATATCGGGCTTGTTGCAGGACTTGAAGAATGACACTGTAGATGTATAGAGGGTTTACTACTATTGCATGTAGAAGAAGTATCTTCTTCAGGTTGAATATATTGAAATTGATATAATTCATTCTTTGTATCTTTTAAATGACAATCATAGTTGACGTGATGAAAGAGCCCTTGACTTTCTAATGATCTACCTATTAATAAAGCTAAACTTCGATCATTTGCTTTTAGGATACGTGTAATACAATCCTAAAAAAAAAAAAAAAAAAAAAAAAAAAAAAAAAGTGAGTTATTGTAACTAAACGAATATGATACTGGTTTATTTCTCCTCTTTAATTAATACATTACCACTGCTTCTACCCCATGAAATACATCATAATAGTGAATACCATCTTTAAATGCTATAGTTGATATATGCATCTTTTTTAAAAACATCCTTGACACATGTGATAATAATGCTGTGTAAACTCTAGAATCAGATTTGGTTTTCTTTGTTTTATTCCTTCTACCAGATGATGAGTCTAGAATGAGCGGTGATCTCTTTTTCTTTTCTGACTCATTGCCCATTTTTTGGCTTAACCTTCTTTTAGATTTAGTTGAAGGAATTTGATTACTACTATTACGACAGAACACATTTCGTAATTTGGATAAAGGCTGCGACATATCACTCCATGTTTGCGATAAAGAAGAGCTGAATACTGTTGTATTTGTATCATCATTCATAATAATGTGTTGCCCTTTTTTATTATTATTATTATTATTATTATTATTATTTAAACCGCTCATATCTGATTTACTTGGCCTCAGGAGACCTATTATTAATAAAATTAATTTTTCTTTATTAGATTACAATAATTTCCCCTCTCTCCCTCTTTTATATATGTATATAAATATATACATATATATATAGATATGTATATATGTATGTGTATATGTATATGTATATGTATTATATACCAATAAATTTCGGTATAGATTGCTTTTGGTAATAATTTTCTTCTTCCATAGTAACTAGTTCGTTAGGACTATTATGATTGTTATTACTATGACTACTATGACTACTACAAATACTACTAATACTACTACTTATAGATGATGATTTTAAATGATTATTATTATCATCAAAGTCTGGTAATGTAGCAGTTTGTATCGATAAAGGTGGGTTAGGTATCTGACGGTTTCCATAGTACAATTTTTGTTGAGAATAGATTGAGTTTAATGATTTACTAGCTGAAATTTTATTATACTTTTCTATTGCTGTAGAATTAAAAATGAGGCTAGAATACTTTTGATGAGGTGAGTTTAGATTCTCTTCCTCAACATCTTGAAATGATGAGGAGGTTGAATGTTGAGATGAGTGTTTTTCGGACCTTAACTTGTCATGATAAACAACAAGACTTTGACGTCTCACAGGTAAATTTTGCTGAATATAACTATTTTGAACATCCAGTGATATTTCTTCTGGTTTATTACAATCTATAACAGACGAATGTAACATGTATGTGCCTTTATGTTGATGGGGGCTACAGTTATGGTGATTTGATGCTATACCATTTGGTTTCACCATATTTAGATGTATGTTATATATGCATGTATATAAATATATAAAAATATATATTTGAAAAAAAAAAAAAAAGGGAAAAGAAAAGGAAAAGAAAGTTAAAAAAAAATAAAATAAAATAAAAAGAGGGTAACAATAATGATATGCTATTTATTATAGAACGTGCGTTTCATCATTGTTACTATATAAAGCAACTACGTTTGATTTTCTTTATCAATTAAAAATAATTATATAGCGTTGTTTTTTTATTATTATTATTTCGGATCCCTACTCTTCATTATCAAAACTCCTTTATAATAAATAATAATTATTTATGTGAATCGGTTACACCTTACTTATATAAAAATTGATGCCAAAAAAAAGAAAAAGCCTTGTGTAAGTATAATAAAGTTATACAACTTTTTTTTATAAAAAGTATTTAAGCCTATTCATGTATTCTATTAGGCAGACTAGCAATAATAACTAGTTAAAAATCTTTAAGACATTACCCCGTCTACGCTTTTTTTTTTTTTTTTTCTAGAAGTAAAAGTATTAGTATTACTATTACAACTAAATCATGAAGATGATGGATAATGTTTATATAGAAGAAGAGTCAATTGATAAATAACATTCGTAGCTTCACATGTCTTCATAGTCTATATACAGGTTTGATTGGTATATATGATGTATATGGATAATGCATATTAAACTAAATCTATTTTATCTTGTATGGTTATGACAAGTAAAACGAAGAGTTCGCTGTCGTCTATAGGATCTTTAAAGACTTTCATTGCTGCATGCTGGGCAACTAAAATTTATTCATAAATAGAATGAGGTTGAACAGTAAATTATTCTAAATAACCGGGTATTCCTTTATATATAAATATATGTTTGTATGTATTGGTTATTTATATATGAATACAACACTGATATCTGAAATGAGAGAGAAAATAGTATTTGGTACTGCTAATAAAATATACAATGTCCTTAAGTCTATAGATCATGAAGTAGTGTATAAATACGTTGAAACCTCTTTAATACTTCAATATTTTAGCTTAAAAAGGGGAATTCTAATTGGACGAATTCATTTTTATTAAAGGTAAGTGTTGGACACTGTCCAGACTTTCATGGCCCTCCCAGCTCCTAAGAATATGTATATATTATAGTCATATATATTTTTACATTACATCTCTTTACAACAAAGTTGCACAACAAAGTCTTTCTACAACTTTATTATGTATAGTCAAGTTTCCAATCACTTCATATCTCTCTTAGGAGGGTAAGGATTGCGGAGAAAATCTTACAACCCTGGTTTGAAATAGTAATAGGAGCTTTTCTGCAGGATCCAAGTTCCTCACTCTAGCATCCGCGTTTGTGGAATACTTTGACGTATCCTCAGCATCTTCTTAACGTGGCGTACACTATACTCATACACACACATATATATGTATACATATATTGCAAATTACTATATCTGTGTCCATTCTATTTATATATCTTCTTTAGAAATCGAAACATCAAGTATTACAGGGATTCAAGGGAAAGATTTTTACACTTAGACGATGTCTCATACAAAGAATTGTGTTTATTATTATTATCCTTGGTGTACAACGGGCATATACAATGTCGTCACTAAACAAAATTTTAAACATGGTTTTTTTAATCAGCAATTTAGGTGTATTATGTGATGAAATATATTAAAGTGTTATTAGATCAAGTTAATTCAAACCAAGAAGGAAATAGACAACCCGAGACATCCTCCATGACTAAGAATCTGATTGACCTGCAGAATGGAAAGGACTGCCTTTAATTACTCCTGTATTGAACAAGCACAATTTTATGGCAGTTTTGTTGAATACTGGCATATTTGCAAAAAAAAAAAAAAAAAAAAAAAAAAAAAAAAAAAAAAAAAAAAAAAAAAAAAATAGGAAGAGTGTCATGATGAGGCAGTCTTCTTTTTAAAAAAAACAAAACATCATTTTTATTTTATACGGTAACTATTTGTCTGAGGTCAAAAAAAAAATCGTTCCCTTCTAAGGAGACACATAATTTGTGGGATTAATATACGCTGTTTAATCGTAATAAAACATTTTCTTTAAAAATGTTAATCAAGATCAAATCAAAAAATTCAGAATTAGTGGCCTTAGAAAAGACTACAAATATCTAAAAAAAAAAGGAGGGGGGGTAGAAGCGGGTTTTCAAAAATCGACTTCTATATTAGATTACTTTTCATTTGTAGAGTAATTGAACGACACTAAAGAGGCCCCAAATACTAATTACATGGATTTACTTTTGACTCTTCAGAAAAAAAAAACAAAATAAAACAATAAAGTGGCATATACTTCTCATACTTATAAAATCACCTTTAATGTATGCATACAATTTTGTGGCCATATATATCACTTTTGATCGTTTTTATTTGCTAATCGTAGGCTTCTTCTAGTTTATATCAGCGAAAAATTACTTAGACTTTAAGACATTGATGACCGTTTTATGATTCAAGTCATATCTGAGAAAGAAAGGCTTTTTATGGGTATCAAAAGTAGTTACTTGACTAAATTTTACTAGCAATCAGGAAACCAAAGGCTTTGATGTTTATCTAATAATGACCAGTTTACTACCCACTGTGTTATATAGGGCATTTAGGAAAATACTTACAAGGAATACTTTTAGGGACTGCAAACTTTTTTTTTTTTTTTTTTTTTTTAGAAATATTTCTAGTGAGTTCTCCTTCAATTGAGTTGGTTTTGACATCTAATTTAGGGCTTTCAGAAAAAGCACAAACTATTCTATAGCCTACACATCATCAAAAATAGACACACGCAAGGAGCAGGCAAAGCTAGTAATAAAAAACAATAGAAACCATTATTTTTATTTACATATTTAACAAGCTTCTGCGATATGTTTAAGCTCTACATGCATAACTAGTTACTTCTAAATACAAAATTTTAGAATAGTAAAGGATTATTTTCACATGAGCAAAAAGGAAAAAAAAACTGTTCATGTGTGTAGTCTTTCAATTTTATCAAATATTGAACATCATCAAAAGCAGACACAAATATGAAACTATAATATTATATGAAGTACAATTTCAGCTTTCGAATGATTGTTGAATGAAGTGGTTTCCGACCTATATTTCGCTAGTAATGCACAAAAAAAATCATAGAACTGACCAACGCGTGAACAATTTTTTCATTCACTGTAAAATTACCAGTATTAGTCAGTTGAATGTTATCGATCTATCATCAGAACCGATACTAGAAATATTAAAAGCTCATATAAATGAATATGAGCTCAATAACATCATTTTATTTGTTAATATTGAAAATATAGACATTACAGAAGCTGCAAGTGAGCTTATTGAAGCAATTACATCAATCAAAAACCTTTCCTGCAGAACTCTGAAAAACACTTTGTACAAGCGAGGTCATAATTCTATTGCTAGCCATAATGCTGAATTTATTAAAGCCACCACAAGGTAATTTATAAGAAACCTACTGATACACTATCTCACATTACTATATACATTATTACTCCTGTATCTAGCTTGAATTTAATGGACTCGCTGAATACTCCCTTGAATAATACCAGGATCCTGGAAAGAACTTTAGCTGTGTACATGAACATTATAATTATTAATTAATTTTTTCCTAGTTGATAATGATATAATTGAATTAGAATGGCTTGAAAGAGAGTATTACGTTACTGAAATAGTATACATAAATATACAGACAATTACATTCTATCCTATATAAAATACTATGCATAAATAAAGCTTCTTTTTTTTGGGTTATAAATATTTACCAAAAGTGTAGAGAAAAAGTAAGATAATATAAACAATATTGATAGAAACTCTACTTATAATTAAGTACATTCTTCTTAATAAAAGCTGCCAAACATAATCTGTCATAACCCATTTATAAGAATTCATTTTAATTTATAATATTTCACTATGATTGAAACAAAGTGGGATAGAGTTTTATTCAAAGTGAGTGGTTGTAGAATATCCCTATGCTTCTTTGGATCAGATGACATTACTGCTGTAGAAAAAGAACAATACGATATCATAAAGCTTTACAGTATGTTGATCAATATAATAGATGAATATTCTTCTCATTTTAAAAAAAGTTATGATAAGATCTTCTTTTTTTGTTGAGACTTTATCTATTAATAATACTGTTTTGAAGAGAGAGAATAAAGAAAAAAAATTCGAGAAACAAACTAGCAGTATAAAACAAAGTTATGCTCAGAACTTGGTATGTGGGGATTACTGTTCCAACAAAGGGAAAGCTTCTTGTGAAATTTGTTTTACAAATTCCCAAGATAATTGCATGGAAAAATGGTGTAGTAAAGCACACTCAGCAATTTTAATAATTATATATGTATACGAATATACTATATCATTCTCTCTCTTTTAAGTATGTAAATGATCAATAATAAACAAATTCACATATCTATAGCTCAGGAATTGTTACAGAATATAGATGATTTTGATTGAAATATATCAAAGATATCGCTAAGCTTTTTTTTTTTTTTTTGACGAACCTGAAGTCTCTAAGTACAATGATCAATCTGTTGTAAAAAAGAAAAGAAAAAGATCATAATTATTCTCATCCATTAAGCAATATAGGCTTAGGAAAATTCACAAGAATTTGTTTGGCTTCAGCCATATTGTCAACTTTTACATCTTATAAATTTTGTTGATATTTGCTTGGTTTTCTTCTTGGTTTATCATGTTATTATCTAATATATTTGTATTGATATTGCCTTTCGTTTGAAGAATTTCTATATTAAATCTCTTTTTCTAAGACAACCTTAATTATTGTTATCAATACCTCGATACTTTTGAGGCTGAAACTTAAATATGTTCAGAGTAACTTTCATCACAAGATGGTAACGTGCAGTAAATCTTTTCTTTTTTTTTTTTATCCAATTTCTTGTTAATTTGAATGACACTTCTGAAAAAAAAAACAAGTTACACATCTATTTATATTTTGAAAGAGTAAGAATTAAGATTAATAATTTGATGATAGTAATCCAAACTATTTATAGTAGTATCCCGATTGAGTCCAGGCATGTTTCGATAAAAAAATTTGTTGTTAATAGTAATGTAATAAGGAAATATTATGAGTGACAAAAAAAAAAAAAAAAACGGTTAAAGACAGATGAAAAAATGCTGCATTTATAAAATGTCTTATAAAGTTCAACATGACAAGCTTTTGGATTATAATAAATATAATTTTGTCTAAATTTATAAGCCTCTCCGTGAGTAATTGAAAGCAGACTGAAGAGCCATAATAGCCTCTCTATAGACAAAAATTAGTAAAGACTTCTTTAGCTTCTTCAATATATTCATAAACTCATCTTCAATAGTATTCTTATTTAACTTTCTTAATCTCTTGAATCTTATCCAAGCTATCGAGAATTAAGTTTATTGTTAACAATAGGCTGAAAACGGCTACTAAACTTCATCTGAATATCATTAGAATACATTATAGGGACTTTTGTGTGTTCGTTCAATACGCTTTGCTGCTCATAAAAAAAAAAAGTAAATTGAAAGAAAAGTCTTTCATTTTTTCGTATAGTGACTGTAGTATATGTATATGTATGTATGTGTTTTTATTAATAAATTGAAAAGTGAATAAATGTAGATAAATGTTATAATATTAAAATGCTATTTTTTTTTTTTCAAGTTTTAGATATCACACTGATGTAAAATTTACTGTTTTTGTTTAGATTGAACATTGACACGAGCATTGACACGACGAGGATCCAAAGTTTCAGGATCTAAAGAAGGTAAGAGATAAGAAATATCGTCCCAAGGATGTCTGTAGAGGCCTTGCTTTAAACGTTTTTGATCTAAATGGTGACCAATAAAACCAAGAGAACGACCAAGAACAAAGAGGCCATTCAATGTACCAATACGCATGTATTCTTCAGCTTCATCACGTGTGAAAGCACCAGATTCACGTAAAAGATCAACAAATGAAACAGCAATACAACCATCCACATTTAAAATCAAATTATCTTTTTTGCTGGTCGTAATCTCTTCAACCTTTAAGGCATAGTCGAGGATAGGTGTACAAGGGAAGTTCTTCTTAACATACTCCTTAACTAACTCAACACGCATATCAGGATTTGTGCGAGACTTAATTTTATGACCAATACCAGGAATTAGTTTATTAGCTTTACGCATAGAAGTGACAAACTCACGGGGAGTAAGACCGCTATCATAGGCTTTAGTAAAATTATTTGCAGCACCATCAAGGGCACCACCAAAACGTTCACCAATAGTAAGCAAACCTGAGACAAGACTACTAATTAAGTCTTTACCAGCACGAGTAGTAATAATTGTATTCATAGCCTAAATTTGAAGACATTTTTTTTTAATACACTATCTATTCCCTCAGAAAACCCCCCCCCGAATATTTTATAATACTTACACCAGACACAGCAGGTCCATGATCAGCAGTCAACATCAAAACCATTTCAATAAATTTGCATGCATAGTTAGGAAGTCTACGCTTGAACCACAAGAGAGAAAGGACACCACCAATACCAATATCCTCCTTAAAGACATCAGTAATTCTCATACCTGCATATAAAAGTTCTTGACCTCTATCATCAACAATGGTAGAAACAAAACTAGCAGGCTTACGAACTAAACCAAGTTCTTGAGCCCAAGAATAATCGATAGGAATTTTGGGAACTTCAGGTTCAGGATGAGGATAAATAACACCTTCCTTAACAAGTTTAGAATAAGTATCAGCAAGGGCTGAAGGCATCTCTTCAAAGGTTTTAGGGACAACGATACCAGCGGCACGCATAGCATTGTTCTTAGCATCAGCTGTTTCCAAGTCAGAGTTTGCCATAGAGCCAGCATGACCAAATTGAACATCAGTAGTAAACATCTTGGCACAGGTACCGATACACCAAGCAACAATTGGTTTCTTGATCTTTCCACTCTTGACAGCTTCAATAACACGATATTCCTCAATACCACCCACTTCACCAAGTAAAACAAGCATCTTACAATTAGGATCGGCTTCATAACGTAATAAATGATCGATAAAAGTAGAGCCTGGATAACGATCACCACCAATCGCAACTCCCTCATAGACACCATCCGTAGTACGAGAAATGATATTGTTCAACTCATTCGACATACCACCAGATTTGGAAACATAACCGACAGATCCGGGTCTATAAAGTTTGGAAGAAACAATATTATCCATCATACCACCCGTGTTACCGATCTTGAAGCATCCAGGCTTAATGCCACCTACAGTAGCAGGACCAATAACAAGCACCTTACGAGCTTCAGCTTCATGTAATAATTGACGAGCACGGCGTTCAGGGACACCCTCAGCAATAATGGCAATTGTCTTGATTTGATTAGAATAGTTAAAGATCTCACGAGTAGAGTCAAAGACAGAACGACAAGAGGCAAAGTTAACGACAACATCAACTTCTGGGAACTTTTCGATAGCATCCTTAAGGGTAGTAAACACGGGAATTAAGGTTTCCTTTGTACCCCAATAGAACTTTTGAACATGAGAGCCGCCAAAAGGATAGACCATAGCAGCTACAGAGGGGGTTTCACGCTTGCACATAAAATCAAAATCAAGCATACCTTGTACAGCACGGGGTTGCATACCATAGACGAAAGCACGTGTCTTGGAAGTGAAAGGACGATACCATTCAGCAGTTTCTTCTTGAGCTTGCTCAGCGAAATAGGTCATACGGTCATTAGGATTAGCTGGGGAATTATTATCTTCAGCAAGAGTAAGCTTTGGAGTGTTAGTGCCAGAATTATTGGCAGAGCCAAAGATTTGATCTTGGAACAAATTACCAGAGGAGGCACTAGTGTTAGAAGTTTGAAGGCTTGCAGCCTTACCTTCTAAAGCTAAGGGGACAATATCAGTGATATGAGTTTCAGGACCAAAGACTTGGATTTCAACACCAAGGGTCTCACCTAATTGACGCATAGCACGAAGACCTTCCTGATAGTTAGGACCACCACGACGAATAAAGATACGAACCTTATGATTGATAAGTGCCTGTTTGAATTCAGTCAAAGCACGAATAATACCCTTAAAGGTAGTAGCAACATTGGTAAAGTTGGCAATACCACCACCAATGAACAAGAGCTTGCCTTCAGGGTTAACTTCACCGCGAGTCATTAAATCCAAAATGGTTTTCGCGTATTCGTAAGTTTGAGTCTCAGTAGGAGCACCCGAATATTCACCATAATTAGCAAGTTCATTAGCATATCCTAAAGCAGCGATAGCATCAGAGTAAACGACAGAGGCACCACCACCAGCTACCATAGTCCAAATACGACCATCACGGTTAAGAACAGTCAATTTAAGAGAGGCACCTGTCTTTCCATCTAATTCTTGAATGTAAGCTTCTTCACGTGTCAATTCACGACCGAAAGGGGCCGGGAATTCCATAGGAGGGCCGTGATCAACATTTTGTGAGTCAGCAGGTGGAGCAAGTCCGATATTTTGAGGAGCTCTAGCAATAGCCCATTTAGGACCAGCTTCGAATTCAGCAGTTTGATCAAGTTTAGCAGCTAAATCAAGATACATCACCTGAGGATTTTGTCCTTCAACGGGATCAGTAACAACCAAAGGGTTTATTTCAAGATAAGTAAAATGAAGATCAACATAAACAGCGTAAAGTCGACGAATAAAGTCTACAAGTACATTCTGTTTGAATTCAGGAACATCTTTAAGAAGAGTATTCTTAATGGTTTCAGCTGAAGGAAACTCAGAGGCAACAACAGGGATCAAAAGCTTTAAAGCTTTAGCATCAACATCACCGATATCAATACCACCCTCATGAGTAAAAAGGATATAATCACCTTCACGAACGGAGTTTATACAAATATAATATTCGGTATTAGCCGGGTGAGGAGTAAAGGGCTCAACCAAAAATGTTTTAAGAATACCAATCGTCCTTTCAATCTAAAAGGATTATTCAGTAACTGATTAATTCCAAAAATAGAAATTTCATCTCTTTTTTTTTTTAATTCCTCTAATTTCAGTCTTTTTTCTTTATAATCCCATACACTCCGTAATGATTTAACGCTGACGATTAAAATCAAACGTTTATCAACTTACTTTAATTTCCTTTCCTGCACGTTCTTCTATCCATTTACGAGCCTCTGACCAATCTTTATTAAGAGTTAAAAGGCCATGTTTTCCTCTACGTTTAATTAGTTGGTCAGGTTTAGCAACCAATTTGTCAGTCAATAACCAAGGATGAGATTGTTCAAGATTATCAAGTTGACGCTTCAATGCATCTTCAAAAGCAGGACGATCATTTAAAAGTGAAGTATCTACATTGATATGGGCTAATTTTGTAGCAGCCGGGGTAAAAAGAGAAGTACTATCTTCTTGCTGACCAACAAGAGGTGCACGTAAAAGATGGTAGGCTAATAAAAGCTTACCATCATATTCTCTAATAGGTTTAGCAGACATAATATTTTGATAATAAAAAAAAAATAAAGAGAAAAAGAAATGAAGAAAAAGAAAAAAAAAGGGGGAATGAAGGAGATGGAAATATACATAAAATAAATGACATGAAGTAAGTTTATATTTTTTTTAGCTTTGTGTGACTTGCTATCTGGGAAGAATAGTATAGACTTCTATATAAGGTTTGCCACCGAGGTCTAAAAACTGGTTTAGGAGGTTTTACCGTACTTTTATTATTGAACCCCCAACATAGTAAGTTGGGGAAATTACAATAGTGGTGAAGATAAGCTTGAATAAATTTTTCCCCAGATTTTTCTACTTGAAAAAAAAAAGGTACAACAAAAGTAAATTAAAGAAATATTAATATATTATTTTATTGTTTAATTAGTAAGAGAAAATGGAAAAAACCAAAAAAAAAAAAGAATTTTTTTATTTCAAGATTATTTACATCTTTTTCTTTTTTTTTTCGTGAGTTTTTATATGCTGTGATAAATTATCAGATCGAGAAAAATTTTTTTGACAACCAGGATAAGAACAACTAAATGGTCTTTCCAAAGTATGAACCTTCATATGTCTTTTAAGATGTTCAAAGCGTTTAAATTGACGTTGACATTCCGATAAAGGACATATATGAATTTTATTACTATTATTTGATAATTGTCGTTTCTTATTAGTAGTGTTTGTCTTTTTAGAAGATTCTAATGATTGTATTTTAGGGGGAGAAGCAGTATACATATTATTATTCGATAAAGAAATGAATGTATTAATTGATTGTTCATGATTTAATAATGATAAAGATGGGGTTGGAGATGAAGTTGGACTTATTGATGATGTTTGTTGTATATCAAAATTCATAATAGATGGTGTAGTTGGATGAAATGTATATGCCTTTAAATAATCACTGATCTAGCAATAAAAGAGAGAATTAATATAGAATAAATTAGAGTATGTATATATATTGTTGTACCTCTGATCGATAGTTCGATAAGTTTGTATTGTAATAAACAGAACCAGAAGATCCAAGATGTTGAGATGCAGCCACTGCAGCGACTGCATTAGTAGCAATGCTACTAGCAGCAGAAGTAGTGGTTGTATTAAATTTACTACTAAGCTGACGTTCAATTGCAGTTACACTAGTAGCTTTTGTATTACGCTTTTTTGATAATTTTTTCTTTGTATGTGTACGATAATGAGCATGAAAATTATCTGATCGACTAAAACTTTTACCACAGCCTGGAAAATGGCATAAATGGGGTCTTTCTCCTGTGTGAACAAGCATGTGTCTTTTTAAATGCTCATAACGCTTAAAACTCCAGCCGCAAAATTGAAAACGACATACATGTTTATGTTGAGGATAAGGAGCTTTTGATAAGATATTTTTTGATGAATTATTTGATGTGCTAAATCTATTGTTATACAATGTATCATTTCTTCTATCACTCAAGCTATTAAAACTACTACTTGTATCTATCACTATTGAATTTGAAGGTGAAACAGTAGGTGTTAATGGAGGAGACACTACAGAATTATAATCAAACTGCATTAATGGATATGAAGGAGAAGAGAAATGTAATTGAAAAGATGAAGTATATTGCATGTTCATAAAGATTAAATAAAAAGGCAAAAAAAAAAAAAAAAAAAAAAAAAAAAAAAAAAAAAAAAAAGAGAGAGAGAGAATACAAATAATTATCAATTTATATACATGTATATGTAAATATTATATAGTTATATTTATATGATCGGCCTGGACTTTAAGATATATTGAAAGTAGTAATATATGCAAATTATTGAACTCCTTCATTGTAATATGTCCAAAACTGGTAGTTGCTAAGAATGAATATTTTATTGCTTATCAAAGATGATAAATTTTCATATAATTGCATAAATAACACGACTTACTTTTCCTTATTTTGACATCTGCATTACGATTTCATTATATATAATTTATCATCGACATTAAGTTAGATCATATAAAGAAGGGGGGGAAGGAAGCTTTGTTTGTTTCATCATGTAAGTATTTAGTATATATAATAATTAAAGATATATGTGAATATGCATGGATACATATATTGAATTGATATATTATTAACTGCATATCTTTTTTTTTTTTTTTTTTTTTTTTTTTTTTTTTTTTTTTTTTTTTTTTTTTACATCAAGATTTTTCCATTCTTTAATTTATATTTGAATGCATTATTGGGATATTAAATCGATAATTCTTAAATACATGTATAATGTATATATAATGTATAATATGTATATTTGTAACTATTTTCGTAAATAACCGTTATTTAATATTCCACATATGTCGATTAAAATGGCATTAGTAAGGTAATTTTTAATAATAAATACCTTTTCAAACTATCATTTTTATTTAACTTAACATAGTTCGTACTTTCGTTTAGCCATTTTATTTATTATTAAGACTCATAGGAGACAAAATTGATATTAAAAAAGACATATCAGTGCTTATTTTATTTAACTGTCACTTGATTCACAGACTTCTAAATGTACAATTTTCTATACTAATTTAATGCTATTTGATTAACTAAGATAGATCCTAACTAACTAGATTAATAAATATCTAAAAGTGTAAATGATTCTTTTAAGAGTTGGTTATAGAGTTTTTTTTTTCTTTTGTTAAGTTATACATGCGCATACTTCAAGTAATGTTTATAAAAGGTATTCTATTTTGTTAGGCATCTGTTTGCTTTTCATTATTTCATGTCAACGATATGGAAGTAAATTAATATAAAAGATAAATATCTCTGTACAGTCAATTTTATCTTATAACATTGTATTTTGCAGAATATACCTAGTACACAATCAGTTAATCTATATATAAAGGAGCTAATCATCATAATGTTTACAGAGTTGGAACCTAAAATATGTTTATTAAGGATAATTAGTAAACAACTACGAAATTATTTTGAATTATAGAAAAATAAAGTTATAAACAACGCGTGTTAATTCTAAAGAAAAAAAAAATGAATGATTGTCTTATTGATAGTGATCTTTAAGCTCTTCCATCTGATGAAGTAACAATTATGTTAATTGTAGTAAGTTGTTATTAGTGTTCATGATAAAGCTACTTTGAGACAAAAATCTCTAGCCGACTATAGTTAGCCCATATTCATGTTAAGATATAAAAACATGCTTTTATGGGTCATGAAATTGTTACAGACTAGTATCTGATAAATAATAAGGTTATCTTTGACTCATTAGTTTATTAATTTTTTATATCTGACAGGAGTAATAGGGCTATATACTATGTCCAGACAATAGTTAATTTAACCATTAATATACAGTCATAAGATATAAAATCCCATTTATCTTTAATATTCTAAATTTATTATTACAAACTAAAAATAAAACATTCTTATATTTCTATTTGGTCCGACCTTGATGAAGATCAACTATGAGCGACCAGTTGCAGAAGCAGAGTTGATGGTTATGGATATAAAGAAAGCAGCAGAAATGATTAATTCTACCACTAGCAGACGTCAAATCGAGTCGACCATAGAGATAAGAAGCAAAAAGTAAAGGCGTCCCAAATTATTAAATATTATATTCTAATTTTTTTCCCCTCAAAGATACAGATTGGCATCTTATTAAAGCTTTACAAGACATAGTAACTATTGAATAGATGGGTATTGAGTATAACTTGACATAGAAGTAATAATAAAGGAAGTTTTATTTTACTATGTCTCTTAAATACTTAAAGCCAATATTTATTTTAGGCTAAAATTATACTCAAATGATTCCAGCTTTATATTGTTCTATGAGCACGCATATAATACGAAGTTCTATTTCTTCTAATTCCTTTATACAAACATTAGTTATAAATAAATACAAATTCAATTTTAACGAAATTTCTGACTTATAGACTATTTTACTGCTATTTTTAAATATGTTAGGAATTCGATATTAACACTAATTATGTTTGTCTACACTTTTTCTTCCAGATTGTTTTGTACCTACTATGGATATTTATCTTAATATTTAAAAATGACTTTATTGTTTGACTTGCCATTATTGTTAGGAAGCTTACTAACTATATTCACTATGAGAAAAAAAGCAATTTAAAGATGTTCCTTGTGTAAACCTTTCACCTGTTGCTTCGACTATATATCTATATGACTACGTAATGAAGCCAATAGTATCTAAAAATGATTATCTTTTACTATCAAAGGAACATCTAATATCACACAGTTTACTGAATATTCAGACAGTAGTTATAGATAGAAAATTTTATATTAAAAAAGCTAATCAATTAATATTGGTTGACCTTCTGCTATTATCTAGTGTTCAATAATAGTCGAGTCTATTTTATTGAAATAAAGATAAGTCCATCCTGATAACAATCCTCTTGACGTTAAAGATACTATTAGGTTGAGACTCTTTACTGAAGAATATTGGTTGCATATGAATAGAATATTTATTAAGAGCATCTTCTAGACTTGGTAAAGATAAACTTGAAATATTTAAAAACAAATAGTGGCATATTGCTTTCATGCGTATTTATTATAAATTATCTTAATTTACAACATATTGTTTATACCTATATAGTAAATCCATTTAAAAGATCCTTAAAGACAAACAAAGTATCGAGATGTGGATTAATGAGTTGAACGAAAAGAGTACTTTGACACTATTCAAAAAGCATAAGTATGATGGACTGTTTCTTGGCTAGAAAAAGACAAGAAGCAAATAAATATGACTTTACTTATTTGTACAATAAAAACAACTTATACTTGAACTTATCCAGTCATTAGTTAGCACGCCTTTTTTTTTTCTTTTGTGCTGCATAGTTTTTTTTTTTTTTCACTTTTAAATGCAATCAATATTTGCTTTAAAAAAAGAAGAGGACTTATATTCTATATTAAACTGTGTAGATACCAGTTCGGTACGTATTTAACAAAAAGAATTTATCAATAATGTTTATTAAGTTTACTTTTATATAGCCAGAACAAATAAAAACTGAATATAGACGTTTAGCTCTTATTCATCATCCTGATAAGTCCCCTTCAAGTAAGTAATAATAATAATAATAAAACTGTATATATTGTTTTATTGATTTTAAGTTACTTAGGCTCTAAAGAATTTGAAAAGATTAAAGCTGCATATGACATTTTAGGCAATTCAGAAAAGAGAGCACTTTATGAACGTTGGAAATCAAGTAATCTTATTATTCCATTTTCAGATTTCATGAATTTGGGAACGCATGCTCAAGTATACTATATATGCATATATTATTAAATGAATTTGTTGTTAACCGTTCTTAAATTAGACTGTCCATTGGCAATCTCTACCTACTCAAATGACCTTAACTGATAATGAAAATAGTAGCATTACAAATGATAGTAATCTGAAATCTATTCGATTACCAGCTACAATTCAACAATTACCTGAAATAAAAATACAAACTTCAGGATTTTGGAAAAAGCCAGACTACAAAATTATGGAAAAGCCCAATTAATGAAATAAGTTTATATATTTGTATAAAAAAAAAAGGGGGATAAATAACAATGATGAAATTTATTATACAATGCCATGATACAAAGTCTAATCTCAAATAAAAAATATATAAATGTATATGTAATATAATATTATTTTAATTATTCCAAGTCTTTCTATTTCCGTAACTATTATTGTTACGTCCACCATTACCATAGCTATTATTATTGTTACGTCCACCACCATAACCATAGCTACTATTGCCACCACGATTTCTATTGTTGCCATAACTATTGCCTCGTCCGTTATTATTGTAACTGTTGCCACCACGACCACCTCTGGTATCACGTTCTTGAAGAGGAGGTAAACTAGATGGAGCAGACAAAGTTATATTACGGTTATTCCAAGGTCTACCAGCTAAAAGTACAGAGCCATCTTCTTGAACTTCACATTTGTCAGACTTAATATCAAATACGACACCTTTCATATCTTGTGTCATACGCCATCCTCTAAAGTCATCATAACCGAGTTCGGGGTATTCGCGATTAAGAATATTACGTACATAACCAGGATGTTGGATTGTATATTGCATTTGCATGAACAAAGTAGTTTGACCTTCTTGAGAAGTTAAAAGAGAACGGCTAGGGACACCTTGATGATAACCTGTCATAAAAGCAAGTGCAGCAGCAACAGCATTTTCTGCACCATGTTTTTCGATTAATTTCTTTGCAGATTGAGCAAAATAGGGTAAAACGTCTGGCTTAACCAGATCAATCGATTTAAAGGCATCATCTGTTGTGGCCTCAATAATATCTTCAGGACGAGGAGCGGACAAATGTTCAAATTGAACACCAGTACGCTTAGAGATATAAGATAGAAGTCCTTCTTCCATAGGCTTGAAGAAAGTAACACAAACACCAGAACGACCAGCACGACCAGTACGACCAGAACGATGAACATAAGATTCTGTATCCTTTGGTGGTTGACAATTAATAACTAAATCAACTTGGGGAATATCCAAACCACGGGCAAGAACATCTGTGCATACAATACATTTGTATTTACCTTCACGGAAAGCTTTCATAGTAGCTTCACGAGAAGCTTGAGCAATATCACCATGTAAAACAGCTGCATCTTGCTTAATCTTATCATGAGCACCTAATTCATTAGCGTCCGCCTTTGTAGCACAGAAAATAACAGTTAAACCACTTCGGCCATAGACATTAACAACATCACCAATAATATCAGCACGAGTGTTGTAAGATGATGGCATAGCAATATGGCGAATGTTAGTATTTGTTCTATTTTTTGCATTTCCGATCAAATCAATACGCTCATAGTCTTCTTTTAAGAAACGCTTGATAGTTTCCATTACAGATTCAGGAACGGTGGCTGAAAATAATAAAGTTTGATAGTCACGGGAAGTTTTTTGTTCTTGAATATGAGATAATAAATTAAACATGTCTTCCTCAAAACCACGAGCATCTAACATTTCATCAGCTTCATCAAGAACAATAAATTTAAGATCCTTTAACTTCATGTTGCCAAATTTGATGTGATCAAGAATACGACCAGGAGTACCAACAACAACATCAACACCTTCTCTAAAAACAGAGGTTTGCTCACTGTAGGGAACACCACCATAAACAGGCAATGACTTGAGACGGTTACCTGAAATTTGCTCAAAATCACCACAAACTTGCTTGGCAAGATCACGAGTAGGACAAAGCACAAGTACACGAGGAGAACGACCACGACGTTCTTTATATTCCTTATCAAGAGCCAATCTCTCAATAACAGGTAAAGCAAAAGCTAATGTTTTACCAGTACCTGTACGAGCACGAGCAAGCACATCTTTTCCATCATAAATAGTATCAAAAGTAGCAGCCTGAATTTCGAAAAGAGATTTAATGCCCTTTAAAGCAAGATTATCAATTGTATTTTGAGAAATACGGAAATTGCTAAGACGAAGCTTTTCAGGAATTTCATCGTTATTCTTTTCTGTCTCTTCTACGACCTTACGTTTTTTAGTTTCAGGTTCGGGAGTACCAGTTACAGAAGATACAGTAGAGGTTGCAGCAGAATTGAGATTAGAGGTAACATCAACATCATCAATGATCTCCTTGGCTTTACGATCGTCTCTCTCACGCTTACGAGAAGATTTTTCTTTCTTATCTTTTCTTTCCTTTCTGTCACTACGAGCTAATTTTTTAAAAAAAAAATAAGTATATTATCATATAAAACTTATTATTATAAACCTATATTACATTCTTTAGATGAAGTTGGGCTGGGCATCTCTTTTTTTTAATTATTTATGATCAAGAATGAAATGAGAGATTAAAGATCAAAAAAATAAAAAAAAAAAAAAAAAAAAATGTATATAAAGAATGCAGGAGTAATAATGTGACAGTTATTTGTGACTTCTTATAAAAAGTATCCTTTTATAGCTGGAAAATGCTGTCCCTTGTTTGGTTCTAAAGAAAAAAAATTTAATTGGATCAAAATGCCAAAACTTAAAATCCAAACAAATTAATTTTGTTTTGTTCTTTTGGTGAAACGGATAATAAAATATATAGGACTTATGGTTTAAACCAGATAGTTAATATGATATGGACGAATCTAAGTAATGTCATATATATTGTAAAATATATAATATATAAGCAATACTATTTTATGAACCAACCAATTAGATATGATATAATCTATTATATAAACTTAAGCTATGATGGAACCTTATTGTCCTTTCATCTGTATAAAAAATGCAGCCAGAAAATATTTTTTTCTCTATTTGGTTGGACTTATATTGTAATACACCAAGGCAGAATAGTTAATTCAAAAGAAAAAGATCGAAAAGAACCCACTAATAGTATTAATAAACACGTTGCTATTTTAATAATAAATGTAGCAAAGCGCTAAAAGGGAAAAAAAAAAAGTAATCAAAAAGGGAGAGTTGTTGAAATACATATGTCTAATATTATTTTCATTATTTGATTATCGTATAAAAACCTGAATTTTACATCTGTTCGTTTTTACATTACTTTTATGCGCTTCAACAAGCAATAAATAAAAACATTTTGACTTGTATTACCAAGTTAAAATACCCAAATATAATTCAAAAACATAGTAGGACAACTACATGTTGATTCTGAAGAGAAACATTAACTCAAGGAACATGGTGTTCTAATTTATCTGAATCTTTATAACATGCATTATACAAAAGATACAGAACCCAAGAGCACATCAGTCAAAAAATAAAATTTCCAAAACGAATTTACCCACTAGGGGGGTCGAACCCCTAATCTTCCGTTTAGAAGACGGATGCCTTATCCAATTAGGCCAAGCGGGCGGAGTTAATATTAGAATATAAGAAAAAAATAACATAATTATAATTTTATTTGAAATCACGTGACTTGACCAATAGAATTGTATCTACGGTCTTTTAATTTTAACTATATATCATATTTTTCCAAAAAAATTAAAACAAAGGCGTTTTCCTCAAGCTATGATCTCGACATTGAGCTTGCCCTTGTAGATTATTGTATTGAATATTGTTTGTTAAAACGATATCAAATGTAAAAAAAAAAAGAAATAGAAAAGGAACTGGAAAACAGCTTAATATTTATTTTATAACAAGATATTCTTTATCGCTGTATAAGTCTTGGGTATAACGTTAAGAACAATAGAGATCAAATCAAGATTCAGTTTAAAAGAGCACCACAAACGTATTAAATTCATGACACTGTCCGTCTAATTCTTAATTAAAACTCGACCTTTCCTGCAGCAAAATAGTGATATAGGCAGATAGTACAAACTATTTGATTGTCTAAAAAAAAAATGATGGTATTTATAATGAAAATGAAAATAAGATAGAGCAAAGTAAAATGAAGATAAAAGAAAAATTTGTCCAAGTAGTCTCAGTTATTTAAGTTATAATTTATTAGTTAATTACATTAGTAATGTTATTAGTATTATTTAATATTTGCTATTGATATTTATTACCTTTATACATGCTTTGTTATTTTGTGTTATTTTATTTTTGTTTATTTTAATTCATCCTTCATTTTTATTTCTATTATCTTGTACAATTATTTGTATTGTCAAATATTATTTTATGATAATTAACCTAATTATACATGACATGTTAACTTTAATGCAAACAAACAGAACAGAAGAAAAAAATTATTTCAAAAGTATTAAAGGAATAGAATCGAAGAAGGAAAAAAAAAAAAAACTAATACTCTAATAAAAAGGATATTTAATAATAATAATTTAATATTATTATCAGTGTTCAAGTAAACATCGAATCAACCTACTAACTTATTATTGATTCTGTAGTATAGCTGACATTTGGTGGTGCCTGATAAGCTTAGTCTACCAGTTACAATTGCTAACGAGAAAGGTTAGTTGTCATTACCAAAGTTTTCAGTATAATCATTTGTCTCTCCCAGCTGCTTCAAAAGGTATACCTGAAAACCACTAAAATCATGATATTTGTGTCGTTTTATTACTTCTTGAGATACGAGATAATATAAGTTAGGTTATTGATAATAATACTAATATCAGACAAAGACTATAATTGCAAGTTTTATATGATTTATTCTCTTTATTAGATTTAATTCTTATTAAAAAAAAGATGAATTTGTAATAATAGAGAACTATAACACCTTTTGACATTGTTAAAGCTTTATTATGCTCATCATTATAGATAATTGTTTGACCTTAATAATGTGATAGAAATAAAATATAAGCTTATTATAAATAATATAACAGCATAAATGTAAATAGTAATTTTATTGGCGGTAAATTCCTTCTTTGATTTAGTTATTCTGGATATAGCCCCCCTCTTTTTTTTTTGCCTGTCATCTGAAAAATTTAAAACAATTTTTTTTTTTTTTTTTTTTTCAATTATTGTTTCTGTTTGATATACATATTGTATGTTTTTATTATTACAGCTGAATGTAATAATAAAAAAATCCAGTGCTTCATTTTTTTCTTATTTGAAACGAGAAAAACAAATAAAACGCAATATGACATCACACATTCAAATTATTGGACAAAATTCGCCTGAAGGTCCACCAAGTTTAATTGTTCATTATAATTCACAACGTTATTTGTTCAATTGTCGAGAGGGGACACAAAGACTTTGCGTTCAAGAGAAAGCAAGATTAGGGAAATTAAGCAATATTTTCTTAACTCGAGTAAACTGGGAATGCATGGGTGGATTAACAGGTAATTCACTTGAGGACTTTTTTTTCTTAACACTGTTGATTTTAACAATGTATATAGGCATGCTACTTACAATGACAGACGCAGGGGTTCGTAATATTAATATTCATGGTGGAAAAAACTTGGCTCATTTTATTGCTTCTACTAGACATTTTGTATATAGGTAAGTGATCTTTCTTTAGATCCTAGAAAAAAATTAATAATCTTTTTTTTTTTTTTTTTTTTTTTTTTTTTTTTTTTAATAAATATATAGAACAAATTCTACAATTAATGTTCATGAACTTGATAATGACTCAAAGCCGTATAGTGATAACAACTTATCGATAACTTCTGTTGTTGTTTTACCTAATGCAGCTAAAAAAAGAAATTATACACAATTTAGTGGAAGTGGATCGAGCAGCAACGAAAGTTCAGCATCAGATAATGATGATGAAAATTTCATTTCAAGATCTTCTCCCATGACGCAAACAGAAGCTGATGCATATAGACGAAAAGTAATTTCACTCATGTTTACAGATACGAATAAAGGTGAAAAGCCACCTGGTCATACTATTGAGGCCGATTGCACACCCCGAACTTCGAAAACAGCTCATCCTCTTTCTTCGGCCAATTCTGTAAATAAGTCAGCAGAAAAGGAGCATCTATTTAAATCATTACCAAAAGTAAAACCATTCCCAACAGCTATTTCTTATATTTGTCAGGGTGTACCTTTACCACGTAAATTTAACAAAGCCGCTGCTTTGAGATTAGGTATTAAACCAGGTCCTATTTATGGTACATTAAAGAATGGTGCTTCCATTACTTTAGAGGATGGACGAGTAATCACACCTGACATGGTTTGTGATCCTGAGATCCCAGGACACGTTTTTATAGTTGTCGATTGTCCCAGTGTTAGTTACATAGACGGACTTATTAATTCACCAAAATTTGAAGCATTTAAAAAAGAAGGGCAATATAAAGTGAATGTCATGATTCACTATGTTGGTAACGACGTACTTCAAGATGAACGATATAAAGAATGGTTGAATAGTTTTGATGAATCTACAGATGTAAGTTGCAACTTATATTAATAGGGAAAGCATAATATGGATAGCATGGCTGATCTCTTTTACTTATAGCATATTTTTGGTTCTACAGAGCTTTGTGCTCAAACTGTTCAATTCACTTCTCATGCTCTTAGTCAAGTCAAATTATCTATGCTAAACAAGGATATTTTCCCTATTCCAAAGTATAGCAATATACCCGAACTACCATTAGAAAAAGGTATTCTGAATGTAATAATTTGCACACTCCACTATTTTCTAATTTCACTATTGCTTTACTAGTTAATGGGCTACCAAAAAATAGTTATTCGTTGGAAAACATGTTGCAATATCAACTTGAACCTAGAAGAGGAATCAAATATTTAGATCGACTCCCTTTTGACCATACCAATTTATTGCTTCCTGAAATCGAAAAGATTAACAAAGATAAAGAGTATTTTGAAGCTGTTCAGCTTGCTCATATAGAAGCATCTAAAGTCAATACAACGGAGGAGTTTCCGGGTGATCAAGTTGAAATTGTTACATTAGGAACAGGCAGTTCAATTCCTGCAAAATATAGAAATGGTAAAAAAAAAAAGACATATTATCTTATCATAAGAATTTATTTTTTTTTATGACCTGATTTATATAGTCAGCGCAACACTTGTAAAAATCCCGGGCTATGGTTCCATAATGCTAGATGCAGGTGAAGGAACATATGGTCAAATGATGCGTCGTTTTGGTATTGGGCTTGTAGATAAAGAGATTAAAGATATTCGCTGTATTTTTATATCTCATTTACATGCAGATCATCATTTAGGTGTTGTGCAACTATTAAATAAATGGAATCAGGTAAGTCTTTAATTTATTAATATCCAAACTTGTATCCTATATTCAATTTATTTATTCATTTTTTATAGTTGAATAAATCCAGCGATTCCATTTTGACTGTAGTTGCACCCTTTATATATAAACATTGGTTAAAAGAGTATAATTGTATTGAACATCTTGGCTTAAAACAAAAATTAAAGTTTATAAAGAATGAAAGTATCGTTGGTAACAGAGAACCTAAAGGTGAAGACTTGAAAAAGTAATATCCAATTTTTGAAGTATCTATAAGAGTAATTTCATATTTATCTTTTTGTCTTTTTTTTTATAGTTTAATTCAGTTAAAAAAACAGTTAGGTTTTTCTACAATAGAGCCTGTAGAAGTAGTCCATTGTCGATGGGCTTATGGATTATCAATTGAACATGAATCTGGATGGAAACTAGTGTATGTATTAAATGTATATATGTAAATGTATATGTACATCTATAAAACTTACTCTGTACTTATCAAATATTAGTTATTCTGGTGATACTCGTCCTTGTGCTAATCTTGTTGAAGCAGGTAAAGACGCTACATTATTGATACATGAAGCAACACTTGAAGATGCAGAGATAGATAAAGCAATTGCTAAACGTCATAGTACAACAAGTGAAGCTGTGGATATTGGGGAAAAGTAGAGTAATTTTTATGTGTAAAGTATAAGTCATCTAACTTTATTTGAAATAGAATGAATGCCAGATTTACTTTATTAAATCATTTCAGTCAACGATATCCAAAGCTACCTATTCTTTCGGAACAGCATTCCAATGTTTGCTTTAGCTTTGATATGATGTCAATATTAATGAAGCATATGCCTATATTACCAAAATATACAAGCGCTATTCAACTCGCATTCAAAGAAGAAGAAGAAGAAGAAGAAATTAATCCAGTTACAATTGATACTGAAAAAACCTCATCTAGACCTGTTAATCAAAAGAAACAAAAAACATAATAAATATAGAAATCAAATGATCAAAACACTGAATAACAGTTACACTAATAGAAAAAAAGTAGTATGTGTATTTAAGGAAAGAAAGTAAGCAGGCTTGGTAAAAATAAAAATCTCTCTCTCTCTCTTTTTTTTTTTTACTATGCGCTTCCTTAATAAAAAATAATTTCTTTTCTCTTTTTCTCTTTTTCTCTTTTTCTTCTTTTCTTTTTTTATTTATTATTTATTTTATTTTAACAAAATGACTGATATAAATCCATTTTCTTCAATCGATACAGCGCTTATAAATCAGTCAAAAATGGATGAATCACCTATCCCCTCTGCTGGTATTCATAAATATAATAAATAACTTTATAATTTATAGCTTATAATTATTTAAATAGTTCCCTTTAATGATACTGTCTCTAATCAGAAGAATGTATCTTTATTCAATACTCCTCCTCCTTCAGTCAAAGTAGACAATCCCACAAATATCAAATCATTTAGCCATAGCTCTCCTAATACTAACTTTAAAGAGAGTAAGTTTTTTAAACTATAGTAATAGTTTTAATAATAATGTCCTTTATTTTATCATAATAAATTATAGATCCTACAGCTCATTTAAAAGCTAAAATTGAGTCTCTTGTTTATTGGAAAAATCCAAAGAAAAGTGGTTTGTTCCTTATTGGGTCGTTAGGCTTTTTAGTTTTATCAGAATATTATTCATTCTTGCAAATCATGGCGGGAATATTTACGTTCATAACCGGTATAAACTTGATATTCGTAAATGCTCATAAACAAGGGCAAATATTCATTAGAGGAAAGTCAAATGAAGATGTCTTTAATCCTCATAGGTAATAATAATAATTATAAAAGCTTCACCTTCAGGAGGTATTTATTTATTTATATATAGTGAACGTCTTAAGAGAAAAGACAGTTTGATTCCTCGTGAACGCGTCTTACGTGGAGCAAATATAATGATTGACGTTGCCGAAGCACTTTCACAGCAGATTGTAAAATTGGCGTTTATTGAAGATAATTGGCGCTCATGTGTTTCTTTAGTCAATTCTTATTTGGTCTGGACTCTTGCAAAGTATGTATCCACAAAATATTTGATAGGACTTTTTATACTTTTTGCTTTTACTCTTCCTCGTCTTTACCTTCAACATCAAGCAGTAATTGATGCTCATATTGCTCAACAATCTAAAATAGCTCGTGATTTGGCTACAAAATATTGTAATCTTGCCAATAATAAGGCTAAAGAGTTAATAGTACAAGCTAAATCTATTTTAAAGAAGGGTCCTGCACCTAATCCTGTCTCATCAACACAGGATTCCATTAAAAAAGATTAAAATAGTAATAACTGTACATTATGTTTTTTATTAAAGGAAAAAAAAAAAGAAGCTAAATGCATGAAATAATCTTTCTTTTAAAACGTTATGATAATTAAATAAAATCATAAAATACGAACATTATTTAGTAGAAGCTCTTTATACGTTGGCTTATAAGAAAATGATATATATCTTTTGCGGGCATCATTTTGATAAAATAGATACATGTAAATACATACTTGTATATAAAAGGAAAGTTACCCACATTTGTTGATACAGATACAAGTTATTTAACTTAAATACTCTATCAATGTTAAAGATAACTGCTAGTGTTTTTATTTGATTTACTCTTCTTTCTGATACAGTATTCTAAATCATGTAAATTAAACAATTAAAGCAGGTGTAATAGTATACATGTATATATAAAAAGGAAACTGTTCAATTATATACAAGAAAGTCATAATCATCTTTTTTTTTTCAGTATAGAACTTTAAGCTGTTCTGTTATAACGAAGAAAAATAAAACAGGCCAAAAAGAAAAATATATAAGATAGTCGATGGACCTTCGAACGTCTTTTCAAAAATACTATTAAATAGGAATTTAGACAAAGAGTTTCCTAAAACATAATACGATAAACTTACAAAATATATAAATTCTTGTCAAGCTGCAAAACTCTTTGATATATTTGTGCCGCCAACAAGTTTGATAAAGTGCTTTGATGAATACTTTGTCCTCAAAATAATATTCTACTACGTCTATTAATTTTTGTAACTGTTTTTGAGAACAGTGTTCTCCTTTTCGTAGACAAATCAAGGTAGCAGGTCCTTTGTAAATATGAACGTCTCGAGGCGAAAACCCAACTGTAATATGGAAGTTTGTTTTTGGCAAGCCTATTTTTTCACGTATCATTTGTCCAAAAGGCCAATGAATTACGCGATAGTAGGTATTAGCTTCTTCATCAGCACAATGCCCAATACCAAGATCAATAGGTCTTTGCCAATCTAATGCCGAGCCAAATTGATTCACGATTGTATCATGAATATCTTTCTGTGTCTTTTTAAACAATTTTTTATGTTGTCCTTTACTAATAGTTATATCATTTTCTTCCTTATTTTTATCATATAAAGGAATTAGAGATGTAATTTCTAAATGATTAATAACCGTAATATGATGGCCATTTTCTTCCCCATCTCTTATCAAGCGATTTTCTATATACTCAGGTTGAACATGAAGATCAGACTGTAATCCAAGTTGATTTATATATGGTCCACGCAAGGAAAGAAATCTACCTTCTGGTTCAAATATAAGATTAGATTCAGACATCGATCTATAAGCAACAAAAAAAAAAAAAAAAAAAAAAAAAAGTCTTGAAAAAAAAAAAAGTTTAATATCATTATTAAGCTTTTTAGAAAATAAAATATTCAAACAAGCCATTCACTAAAAATTTCCTTTAAATAGTATTTTTCTTCATATCTATTCCGTTTACACATCTTATAAAATGCTTTGATAAATAATTTGTCCTCAAAATAATATTCTACTACATCCATTAGCTTCTGTAGTTGTTTTTGAGAACAGTGTTCTCCTTTTCGTAAACAAATCAAGGTAGCAGGTCCTTTGTAAAGATGAACGTCTCGAGGCGAAAACCCAACTGTAATATGGAAGTTTGTTTTTGGCAAGCCTATTTTTTCACGTATCATTTGTCCAAAAGGCCAATGAATTACACGAAAGTAGGTAATAGACTGTCCATCACTACATCGACCCATTCCAAGATCAATAGGTCTTTCCCAGACTGAAGCTAATCCATATTGTTTTATAATCGTATAATATATATGCCTTTGTTTTTTCTTGAATAGTTTTCTTATTTGACTTTTACTAACTCCTACATCATTTCCATCTTTGTCTTTATTTTGTGAGGCAATGAGAGATGCAATCTCTAAATGATTTATAACTGTAATGTGTTGTTCATCCTCTCTTCCATCTCTTGATATACGATTTCTGATATAATTATTATTAATGCGGTAATCAGTTTGAGACCCAAGCTGATTTATATATACACCATGTAAAGATAAGTATCTTTTTCTGGCGCAAATACAAGTTCAGGTTTAGACATAATCAATTTTTTGAAGAAAAGGAAAAAAAATAGCCTATTCCATTATGCTCACACTCTTATTTTACTTTGCACATATTTGACTGCATGTTTTGTTTTTATTTGTATTTTTTTTTATTTTTTTTTTTTTTTTTTTTACTTTATTTATTATATACATATATGTGTTTCATCATCTTAATCTCTCCAAGCAATATGTACCTCGTCTGTTCTATAACGCTGAGTAATTGTACTTTCTTCAAAAGGTGTTTTAAATCCAGTACGATAAGCCAATAAACCTGCGTGAGCAATCATGATACCATTATCAATACAGAATCTTTCATCTGTTGCACAAACACTGCCTCCTCTTTGTGCCGCCATCTCACCCATCATTTCTTGTAATCGAACATTACCTATAGTAATATATAAGCATAAGATACAAAATAATATTCACACATGTCAACTTACATCCAACTCCACCAACTAATAAGACTTGATTAGATTCTACATGAGCCATAGCACGTTCAGTGATCTCAACCAACATGGCAAACAATGTTTCTTGAAGTGAAAAACATAAATCTTCTGGTGTTATTTCACCCTTCGGTAATTCTTTCTTGGCTAATTTTTCAATATGAGATAAAATACCAGAAAATGACACGTCCATGCCTTTCACAGAGTAAGGTAAATGTATAAATTTTTTGCCTCTCTTTGCATACTGTTCAATATTATATCCTGGACTAGGTGCATTGGATAGATTGAGTATACGTGCAAATCGATCAAGACAATTACCAATAGCAATATCTAATGTTTCTCCAAAAATCATATATCGTTGTTGAGAGTAAGCAATAACTTGTGTATTTCCTCCGCTTACATAAAGTACAACAGGATTATCTGCTTTTGTCACTTCTCTACCCATTTCAATATCTACAAATGTAAAATAATTAGTTTTTCTTTTGCCTTTTATTTTTTTTTTTAGAAAAAAAAAAGTTCAATTAGTTTAATTAACTAGAACCATACGCCCCACACAGTGATTAACACCAACCAAAGGTTTTCCCCATAATAAAGAAAGTGTACGAGCAACAAGTGCAACAGAAACTAATGGGCCTCCCATTCCAGGTCCTAATACGTATACATTTAGAAACCAATTGTTAAGAAGATAATTTAAATTTTATATAGAATAAGTTACCTTTAGTATAACAAATAACATCAATATCATTTATGGTAATATTAGCTTGCTTTAGTGCTTCTTTTGTAACATTTAAGATACAATCACGATGATGCTGTGCTGTATCTCGAGGCAAAAAGCCTTGTCCTGGAGGAGTAATATATGTATCTCGAATATTTGCTAAAATATCTACTTTATTATCTTCATGTCTAATGATGCCAACGCCAAGCTTATTAGCAGAACCCTCAAAACCGATTGCTACAACCATATTATATATAAATAGTGATAATGAAAAGATTTTATTAAAACGAAGAAAAAAAAAATATATTTTTATATAAATAAACAAATAAATAGTTATAAGCCAGTCACAACATCAATCCGAAAAAAAAGAAGAAGAGAGAGAATACCATTACTACACTATTTACGCACAATAGATATAATAATACTACAGAAAGAAAAATAGTCTTCTCCCCTTTATTAATAGCAAATGAACTTGTATATTATTTTTTACATTTTAATTTTCTATTTCAAATTTTCACTTTTAATCTAAAACTTTAGCAAGAATTTCCGAATCGCGGTATAACATGTATTCCTAGCATAATATGGATAAGTATGAATGGATGTATTTGATTTAATAGAACACTTACTTCGCCTTGAATTTTAATAGGATTACCACCAAATGGAGGAAGAATAATTTTATCACCAGCATTTACTTGAAGAGGGATATGATTGCCTTCTTTAGTAAGAGCACCTTTACCAACAGCAACCACTATACCTTCATTGACAGCTTCTTGAGCCTTTTCAGGGATATAAATACCAGCAGCAGTTTTCTAATTGAAGTAATAAAAATGAATGCCATTATACTATAAATCATTGTTTACTATCATTTATTTACTTGTTGAGGTTTAATACGTTGAACTAAGACACGATCTAAAAGAGGAACGATATTCTTAACTTTACTAGCAGCAGACTAATTCATTCATATTAATCATAAATTAATTATAATCTCTCTTCCTCAGTTTTGTTTCTATTTACCATGATTCACAACAAAGATGCAAACGTTAGATAAAAAAAAAAAAAAAAAAGAGGGAAGAATTGCAACCCTAGTTATGATTAAACATCTTCTTGATCACAGTCACACATAGAAAATCCTAGAAACTTCAAATGGATTACATGTACTACAACGTAGCAAAACACACACACACACACACTCCACAATATGACAGACAAAGTATTTATCAATTATTATAATTTTTATTTGAACAGAAAACTTGAAGAGTTTTCTTCTGAAAAGAAATTCTATATAATAGGTTATTTTAAAGTATACAATGATGCTACTCACCTTGATCGGATCTTTTTTCCCCACACAAAAATAGATATTCTGTGTTATATTTTTTTTTGAAACTCAAACCCTACATTCACACTTTTTTTAAAGATTAAAAGCTTAAAGCTTAAGCTTAAGCTTAGCTTAGCAAGCTTAGCTTAACTTGATAAAGACTTTTTATAAGGAACAAAAAATCATTTTATTACAATGGATATTTAAAATACTAAATATTTATTGATTTCTTACTTCATAAAAAACAAGGTTATATACACGTAAACAAAATTATAAATGTTATATTTATTCTTCATCGTCTTCATCATCTTCCTCTTGAGAATCTTCTTCTCCTAATTGCATATCTTCTTCTTCTTCTTCTTCTTCTTCCTCTTCATTATCATCATTATCTTCGTCATCTTCAGATTGAATTTCATCAGTCTCTCCCTTCTTTTGTTTTCTAGCTTCTTTTTCAGCTTTTTTCTTTTCAACATTTTGTTCTTGTTGTTCTCTACGTGCAGCCTTTTCTTGAAGTGTACGCTGTCTTTTACGTTCTGTTTCTTGTGCTTCCTTCTTAGTCTTAGTAACTATATTATTTCAAATATGGATATAGAAAAAAAAAGAAATAGGGTAAATACTAATAACTTTGTATCATATATATATACAAAAAAGCATACCATATCTATGATAAAGCACTTCACCACCACATAAGCCGTTTTCAACTTTTGTCAATTCAAGTGTCATACGAGGGCCTAACTCATGAAGACGAACTGCTCTTTGATCATTCTTACGATTATTACGTCCAGGATAATCTTGAGGTAAAGTAACAGTAGATTCAGGTCCATCTTCGACATCACTTTCTGAAATGATGGCTTCTTTTAATACATAGTCCGAGATGTCTTCATAATCTCCCAAATTGGGTAAATTTGTATTGATCACTCGTTTAATTGATTTAGAAACACCTGTAGCTTTCACGCCAATACTATAATGTCTTACATCGATCATTCCTGTCTCATCATTGTAATTGAACAGTAAAACACGTCTTGCTTCAGATAATTGCATTGTTTGAATATCAACGGCAGGGAACATATTCTGTAACATAACTGTCATCACTTTAAATTCTTTGCCAGATTGTTGAAAATTATTCAAAACTAATAAAGGACTTTTATGATAAACAATATCAGATGTCTTTGGATTCTTTTGAAGTGCTAAACAATCTTTTGCTAATGCATATTCTGCCACACGGAATGTCAAAGTAGGGCCACGAGGAACACGTGCAATACGAAGATTGATTTTCTTCTCAGTACGACTAAAAATTAAGAAATGTGTTACACCTAGTTGACCTGCTACCATTACAAAATCTTTAAGTCGATTCGATCGACGTTCCTATTATAAAAAAAAGAAAAGGGTATTAAATTTCTAATCAATCGAGATTATATAGTTACAAAATTAAATTACTTACTCTTAAATGACTTGCTGTGTGTGGTTCAAATATACGACGTACATCACGCACTAATGATGTAATAGAAGAACCTACTATACCAGATCGCATGACAAAACTTTTAGGGATTTTATTCATCTCCTCTTCTGTGGGGGCAACATGAGTTCTATTCTTTCTCTGCTCATAAAATAAATAGATTTAGTAAACTGCTTTTATGTTTCTTTTTTCCTGCTATCCTCTAATCCTTAATAGTACCTTTCTCTTGACCATTTTATGTTAATCACGTATTTATAAAAACAGATCTATGTAAAATAGTTAATTACATTTTTTTTTTAAAAAAAAAGAAATACAGCTATAAAGAAAGCCAGTCACAACAGAGCCACGACAGGAGTAGTAATTTCTTTCTCAAAAAAAAAAAAAAGCTTATTATTTATTTATGAATCATGATAGTATTTTGTTCTATTTATTATTGTTTACTGGATTTCTCTTTCCTACAAAATATTCTCTTGTAGAAGCATTAGATTTAGTTTCTTCTCTATTTTGCTATTATTTTTATTTATTTCCCTTCTATTTCATATTACAAAAAAAGAAATATATTTAAAACTTATTTGATTCTTTCTACATGCATATATGATATGTATATTAAATTTACAAATAAAGAGTTTTTAAAAGGACAATTCATTGCAAAAAAAAAAAAAAAAAAAAAAAAAAAGAAAAAAAAATACATTATAAAAATTATATGTATAAACTTATTCTAAATTATTTCTTATTATTAATATGATGCAATGGAGAATCAGCATTATAATACATTTGAGTGGCGCCAACAGTTCCTCCTCCACCAGTGACACCGAAAGTAGTCCAGGTTGTAACGTTATCAGTAGGTCCAAAAGATGCCCAGGAAACACCGCTGGTCTTTTTTAGACTAATTTCAACTTTTGTGGAAAGTGCTTCAAACTTGGAAGTAGCAGGATCAATTGTCTAAAAATATATATATATATATTTGTATAAATATATGTAAATAAATCCATTTATCTCGAAAAAAAAAAGTTCAAATGCTTACAGTAAAGAGAGGGAAAGTCTTTTTGAAACGCTTATTTCCTTTCATTTTAATATCGACGTTAATAGATTGTTCAGCAAATTCAACTTTAGTATCTTCTTTATTTTTAGCAAAAATACTAAAAATGACAGTTGTTTGTGTTTGATACCAATCAGTACGACAGTCTACTAACTCCTCATTCTATAAAAATAAAAACAAAACAGTTCATATTCTAATGAGTCCCGCATTTTTTTTTCTTTTTCTTTCCTATTCAACTACAAAATTTACCTTATTATTATCACCAGAGCCAACAAATAAATGCTTTCCTTCTTTGCATCCTTCAATCTTTAAGAATTCATCAAAATCTAACACTTTACGGGTACAGCAACTCCAGCCTTTTGAACCTTCATGGAAAATGGGAGCACCGGGATGATAGCGACAAACAGCTTCAGCCCCATTTCCACGAGAGGTAGCAGTGTCTTTCCAAACACATCCACAACCACGTCTTTTACATGTAGTGCCTTCAGGTACAGGGATTGATTCATCATCCTCTTCTTCTACTACTACCTCAGGCTTTTTTTCCTCTTCCTTCTTAGGTTCAACCGTAGCTGGAGCAGGAGTTGAAACAGTAGAAGCTTCAGGCTTCTTGCCATAGACTTCAACACCCTCCTTCGTAACATGAGTAGCTTCTTGTGTTTGTTGAGGAGCAACAGATGTGCTAGTAGGTTGATTGACAGGTTCATCTGAATGACGACCAAACGTACAACCAGGAATGGCAAGGAATTCATCAAAATCAGAAACTCGCTTCTTACAACATGACCAGCCCTTTAAACCTAAAACAAGACAAAATAATGTTATTTATTTTTACTGTCTAATTTATATATTTTCATTGTAAATTATTATTCTACAAGATCTTTTACCTTCACGAAAAACAGGTGCTCCTGAATGATATTGACAAGCTAAATAATAATCAATGTATATAATTAATTTCTGTAATCATTCAAAAAAAAAAAACATGAAATAAAGTAAAGTTACCGTTATCTTGATTTTCGTCTTCTTTAAAGTCCTTTCCACAGCCTTTATGTGTACACTTCACCATTTTGCCTTTTTTTTTTTTTTTTGAACTCAAGAAAATAATATGAAAAAAAAAAACTCTCCTATTCAATAAAAACTGACAAGATCAAATAATCCATAGAAATTACTAGATATTTCCTTTTACTCTGCGATTTAATTTTTTTTTTTTTTTTTTTTTTTTTTTTTTTTTTTTTTTTTTTTAAAAAAAATTAGTGGTAACACCCGAAATAGTAGTATTTGCAACAATAAAATAGATGCAACTACTGATCACTTTAATAATAAATCTCTATGGTAACTTACTTGAAAAAAAAAGTAGTTTCAATAAGAGTATTCACTATATTGAATGATAGCCTTCTTCTTTAATTATTAATAATATTACAATACGTATGATTTTTAATTCAGATATTATTTATAATAAATAGCTCTTCATCATTAATACGAAAAATTAAAAAAAAAAATGGGTTAAAAAGAAAAGAGTAATTATTAGTTCATATTAGTAAAACAAAACAAAAAAGGGAGGAAGGGAGGGGGACGATAGACAAAAAGTTACTACTCTATTAGAGTATTTTTGGAGGGAGGGGTGGGGGCTTTTTTTTTTTTTTTTTTTTTTTTTTTTTTTTTTTTTATGGCTGTAATTCGTGTTTGCTTTAGTTTAAATAAAATCAGGAACATGTAAAGTCGTCACGGTTATAACTGAAGATTTAGGATTAATTAGGTTAAATGATACTGGTAATGTTGATGAATTATGACTAGTATTATTCGACAAAGTCGATACTGCCTGGCTTATTAGTGGATGACACAGGATTTGCTGGTGAGGATGTAGTATTCATATCTACTTTTTCTATATCAACAGGTGAATGAATAATGTCATCATTTCTATCTATGAAAACACTAGTATTATTACCTTGTTGATTTTGATTTCTTTCTTCAACACTTTCAAGCGCTTCATGAGTGAATTTATGACTACTCGTTTTTATTAAACAGCTTGCCTTTCGATGATTGATTACTTCTTCTTTTTTTGAATGAGAGACAAGTCCTCTTTTGAAATCTTGTAATAATGTGGTTCGAGACAGAGAAGAAGGTATATCGATATTGGATATAGTTGATCTCCTTCTTTTCTCTTCATCCAACATAGCCTCACGTAATAATCTTGAAGAAGGTGCATTATTAATCTGATGATCTACTAGTTTATTATTATCAGTATTTACAGACTTGGGCCTCAGTGGTTGTTCTGTCTGTTTAACGGAGAGAGAAGATTTATATGACGTGGTGAGTCGATTTGTACTAACTGATCTTACTACTTGAGGTCTATGAAACGAGAGTCCAGTTTGAATATAGGATGATAAAAGACTTACCCGAGCCTTGTTATTGGGAATATAAAATTTATCAGATTTAAGTGCTGCATTTTCTGCATTAATTACTATAATACGAAGGGGAGGAGGAGGAGGAGAATAATTGTTAGATATTATCATTATTATTACAGTATCTATATGCTTACTTACATTTCAAAATTAAAAATTCTTTTAACGTTTCATCATTGTCGAATAAAGGTGGACTAGGTAAAGCAGGACCAAATTCAATTATGTTTTTCTTTCTTAATATTTCAACCCTATATGTATATGTATATAATAGAAAAATTAGTAACTTAATTTCTTATCATAAGGCGGTTGTTATGACGTTACCTCCAATGCCTTTTTCCTTTAATGCTTTCAGGTTTTATAATAATATATACATGAAGAAACTGTGAGCGAATAGCGTTAGGATTAAACTTTTGATTTCCTTCAAGAAATATAATACACACAATATCTATAAGATAATGATATATATATATATATATTTTGTCAAGTAATAATAGAAAGTTAATTAAATTATATTATTTTATATGTATATTATTCATTTACCATTGCCAATATGTTTTTTTCGTAACACTTGTTGTTTATCATTATTATGTGAAGGCATTAGTGGAGCTACATGAAACAAAATATCAAAGTCATTCCATTTTGATACATAGGCATATTTTCCTGATTCACCAGCTTAAAACAGGATATATATATACATATATAATATAATATAAGTATACACTATAATACATATATATATATATATATATGACTCTTCTTACTTTTAGTATCCAGCCCAGCTGCATACCCTTTATATTCTTTTAATTCAATCTTTTTACCCATAACATTCAAAAAGTCCTGTAGATCAGAGGATAGATCTGTATTGGAAAACCATGCCTCTTCTGTCATTTGGTTATCTTTTATAGATAGTAAGCCAAACTTATAATGCTTTGGAATCTATAATTTATATTAATATATATTAATATATACATATATATATATATACATATAGGTAAATGGATGATACTTACTTGAATTTCATCATATTTTAATATATCTTTTTCAAGACCTGCCATAATAGTTGATTCAGCCGATAATTCTTTGAAAGAACGTAAATCTATAGTTGGACATGCAGTGAGAATAGCAGCTCTTAACATTCGAGATAAAGATAGATCAGAATGAGTCTCATTTTGTGATGTTATTGAAATAGCTGGATATCCATTTTTACTTGAAAATGGACGAAGAAAACGTCTATCATGAGGTAGTGATTTATCCAATTTATAACCTTCATTCTTTGACTCTAATCGAGATTGTGTATCCCTAGCCATCCATTCATGAATAATATGTCTAGATTGTTCCGGCTATTTTATATATACATATACATATATGTATATAGTTAATATACTTATACACTTTTTTTTTTTTTTTTTTTTTTTTTTTTTTTTTTTTTTTGCAAGTATTACTACCTCTTTGCTTCGAACGATAATACGAAATTGAGATCCAAGAATAGAAGCAGCGACATTTCCTGGACCACTAAAGTCCTTAGCACGTTCTTGAATAATAGATATGATGAAACCGATGGAATTACGATGATCTGAGCCATTTATAGTATCAGTTGAAGAATTATATCCATTTAGAAATGCATTGATAAGTAATTTACTATTTCTTCTTTTCGATGAGGATGACTTTTTTTTCTTTTGATGTGTTATATCAGATGATGATGATGATGATGATGATGATTGATAGGCGGTCTCAACAAGTAAAGATGAATGAGTAGTGTCCTGATCAGAATATCCAATAAATGTACGATAAGGTTTCCCCACAAAATAACAACGAAACCAAGTTGCATTTTCATCAATTTGATCTGATTTTAATTCACAATAGTCCTTTGCAGTCATTTTCTTAGTTTCTACCTTGGGTGATTCCTTTACAAATTCATCAAGACAGTTCATACTTAAGGATGGTGACTTTGATACTAACACAAGACAGACTTTGCAAAAAGTTTTAATTTGAGTAGTCTAAATTATATAGGTAAGAAAAAAAAAAAAAAAAAAGAGGAAGAAGGAAAAGAATATATGTGTATAAATATGTATATACTTACAATTGAAATAAGCATTGAAACATGACCTTTTAAATTCGTTAAAGAAGAATGAAAAATTTCGTTTTGAATAAAATCTTCTGAAGATGTTAATTGCTGTTGTAATTCGTAAATAGTGTCAGTACAATCAGTATCACTACATGCTGTGAGTAGTATTTGAGCCTGATTTATAATTGATTCGAGTTCACGAACATGGGAGAAGGTAATATCATCATTGGATAATAGTAAATCTAATAAGAGTGAACAACGTTCGGACACTATATTAGCAAACTCTTCTACTGTTGATTTAACCGTGGATATATTTGTATTAGGCTCTGTAGAGAGAAAAGGGATAAAAGGGGAAGACATTTGAGTAATATGATGACTTAAGATTGAATCGGTAAAAGAAGAAGTAGATGAATTAGTTAAAGAGAGAGGAGAAAATAAAGGATTTAAATTATTATATTCATCTTGAGATATAAAAGAATAATCTGTTGTTCCCTCAGGAGATGAAATTGAATAAGGAGAATATAATGTATTGCTATTTTGATTGTTGTTTTTATCAGTTGAAAATCTTGATGCAATTGATAAATCATTCATCATTTTTTCCTACAAATACATATATAAAAATATTAAATAGATTAGCATAACAATAACTTGTTTTTACTCCAATTCTATTCTACTTTATTGCTGTTACTACTAAAATCGATATCTAGACGATCTGATGTATTTAAATCCAAGCTTTGAGATGAAAATGCTCTTGTCTCCTCTTTATTAATCGTTGTTTCACTCGATATTCTTTGTCGAAATATCATTTGACTTATTCGAGTTGAAAGTTTTTCATTTGTACTATTAATAAAACCACTTGTCGAAGGCTTTAATGAGAAAAATGAAGGATGTACTAATCTTTGTGATATTTTACTTGTATAGGATGACTGTGTAGAAGGAGTTGCTGTTGCTACTGCTTTAATTGATTCATTACTTATACTCATGGTATCATTTATGCTTCTTTATAAATATAAAGGAAGAAGAGAGTGTAAAATTAAAAAAAAAAGGAGAAGGGGAAAAGATTTTGATCTTATTTATTAAATATTCGTCTATTTGGCGGGATATTATTATTATTATCATTCTCAATTCTGTGTGTGAATTGTCATACAATAGCTCATGGGTACTCTATGATACACAAAATATAAATAACGTTGTTGTTAGAACTAGTCCCAATCTACTTTCGTTTATACAAATACATGGTTTAATAGTTATGTATTTGTGATAAAAATATATGTTTATAGGCACTTATAAGTGCAGTAATTTAACTTAAAATTGAGACAGATTACAAAAAAAATTTAAACGAATTAGAATTCAAATTGAGAAGGAACAAAAAAAAAAAAAAAAAAAAAAAAAAAAAAAAAAAAAAAAAAAAAAAAAAAAAAATTAAGACGAATTACTGTTAGTTTTTGGATTCCACCTCTGCTTGCATGTCGTTTTTATAGTCAAATGGTTCGCTCTCAGTTAGATTATGGTCTTGCAATTAGTCCTCTCTCTGCTAAACTTACCAAAGCACTGGATACCTTTCAAAATTCATGTATTCGACGTATCTTTGGTGGTCACTCACGGTCTTCGGCGAAAGTCATGCTTCACCTTGTCAACCTACCATCCATGAAGACCCGTATTGCAGTCCTCCAAGCGCAATACCTCTTTCGAACTTCCCAATTACCAGCAGATACTCTTCTTGCCCATCTTTTGCCTCATGTTCAGCTCTCAAATAGTCATTCCCACTGGTATAAATTGACTCAAACTACAATGTGGACACACCTATGCTCACCAAATATCTCAACGCTCGACCGAAAACAATTCTACACTCTTCGTGCTAAGTTTCTAGATGATCAATTTCAAAATCTTCGTCAAGATACTAATTCACTCCTATTGTCTTCCTCACGCCCCACTCTTGAATTGGATCCCATCCTTTACTTACCAATGACTACCTCAGAACGTAGCCGAGTGCTTCGTTGGCGACTTGGCTGGCTACCGGGTGGTAAACCTAAAGAATGTATCTTTCATCCGTCTCATAATTGGAGCCGGCAACATGCTATTGAGTGCTTACATGTACATCATCGTCTCTACATGCCTACTTCAGTCGAAGATCCCATCTCGTTCCTCCTCAACTTGCTTCCACTACATAAACCTCGTCGTCCTTCTGATTGTACGAGCTGGTATACTTTATGGCCTATTCTTTGTACAATTCTACATGAACTTGATTACTACTTCCATGATGAATTTCCTCCTGATCCTGTCGATCCTGGTCTCAAGCTATTGAATTGGTTATCCAAGTAATAGTGTGTGTCTTCCTGGTCACTTTGGTCTTATTTGATTTTTTAAATTGTTTCTTCTCACTTTTTCGCTTTTTCCCCCTTATATTTTCTCTTAATTCCAAAATACTGCTCTTTTCTTTTTCCTTCTCGTTTTCCTTTTTCCCTTCTTGTCCTTTAGGAAGGTTTTTATTCTTATTTCCCCTCTATAACTGGCTCGGGCAATATTGCGCATTTATTTCGTCGCTACATGCTCATTGCCAAAAAATTTAAAAAAAAAAAAAATAATAATAATAATAATAATAATAATAAAACTCAGAATTTAATCGTTAGTTTTTGGATAAGTGCGTATTACAATTTAGGCAAATTACTTGTGGATATTTGAATCACTATTGCTAGGGAAACCGTTTCCTCTACGGTGAATTTTTCTCTGAAAGACAGTAAGTCTTCCTTTTTCTTCCTAAATAGACTGCGAAATGCCTAACATATTTTTGCTTGCATTGACATCTCTATTCTAAAGTATACAACAGTTTTCGCAATCTAGAGTACTTTTGGTATATTTATCATTCGGAAGCTTTGTTTCCTTTAGGCTTGTTTCCTTACAGAAGTTACATACTTCCGAGGTTTTAAACTCGTTAATGCTGACAATAACCAATCGAAATGTAGTTCTTGATCTAAGCTGGATTTCTCTCTCAAGTATAGCTGTGGCACCTGACATCTGGCCTTTTATCCTAACCGTATCCAAATTCTTCATCCCATCACCAAACACAACGAGAGGTACACAAAGAGAAGGTTTGAATTTGGCCTTTTTTTTTCCCCATTTTGCCAGCTTCTTTCTTGGTGTAGTTTTAAATTTATCATCGTATATAATTTGTGGATTCTTTTTGTCCTCTTGTTTCTTCTTATCTCTTTTTTCTTTTCTTTCTTGTATTCAGTCTTTTGGCTTTATTGTACTTTTTTTCCTCCATTAAGTAAGATATTGGTCATCTCTTTATACGACCTTTGTCTGCCCTGATGATCATTGAAACGAAAGGGTGCAGACCTTCTATTGTAAAACCTGAAGATTTGGAGTACATGTTTGAGATCATATACTATATAATTGTTCCATTTTTCAATGTCTATGATTCTTGCTGAAGGGAAATCTATCTCAATGCTTTTTATCCCAGCTTTTAATTTTAAGCTTTTCTACATGACAAGCCTTTCTTCTCTTGGAACCTGTATAACAATGTCACTCTTTAATGCTACCTCTTCTTATTTCTTGTTTATCTTCTTCATGGCGAACTGTCGCTGTAAATATATGATCTCTGCCTAGTTCAACAGCACAAGGCTGAAAATACTTTTGGTACTTCTTCAACGCAAAAAATCTTCCAACTCTAATTGTACTTCTTCTTTCGCATCTTTGGCTTTTCTAGCAAACCCGAAGCAAACACCAAAGCCTGTCGCTTTGAATGGTACAAGTGAACTTTTTTTTTTTTTTTTTTTTTTTTTTTTTTTTTTTTTGGAGGGGTCATTACCATTTTCACTCAGTTTTCTATTTTAGCAATCATGAAAAAAAAAAGGAACCTTAAAGTCGTAGAACATGATTTTTGTAAGATTGTGCTTGTTTACAAAGGAAGCTCCACACTCTTGCAGCAAGACATTAACGTCACTGAAAAAAAAAGTGATATATAGGCATCGTCATAACAGCATGAAAATCAATATGGTACGCCATTTTTTTTTTTTTTTTTTTTTTTTTTTTTTTTTGACAATACGATTAAAGAAGAATTTTATTTAAAAATTAAAAAATGACCAATGAGCATATAGCATTTATATACTGGTCAGATCGCTATGGAAAGAAAAACCCTTTTGGGATAAAAGGGAAAATATTAAAGTGTATGTATAAGTGATGATGATTAACTATCGGAAAATCGTTATTGTATTGAAAGAAGATGATGGTCAGAGGGTTCAGGGATTTGGGAGTGAAGCAAGATAGTCCATCTCCAAGTAGAATTGTACATATAGAAGGCCAGCGTATAAGCCAGGCATCCATTGATTTTCTCACTTTATTAGTAAGGAATGTTGATGGTAATAGATTCAAGAGATAAGAGAATGGATCTTCAATAGATTTGGGGCATCTGAAGGCGGTTATGCATATGCAAACAAGAAAAACTATGTGAACGTGTGAAGAGTTCATTTGGATGGAAGGGGCAAGGCTTGGGGATTTACCAAGAGGTAACCAACCAAGTCGCTATCGCACGCAACGAAAGCGTTCACTTCATGTCATTGGTATCGTGAGAACAGGGACGACAATCAGATTATTACGGCAATGGGATAAAAGTTTCGAATGTGTTTCTTGTAGTTTTGAGCGATAGCTGTCAAGCAGGAATCGTCTTCGTTTTCCACTAAAATCCTTATGAGACATAGTGTTAAGATTTTCATTGTAAACTGCTATCCATAGAGGAGGTTTGGATAGTTACGACCATTTTGATTTATTTTGAGACTGTATGTATGGTGTTTTTTTGACAATGTTAGTATTTTTCTGGAAAAAGTAAAAATGAAAATTAGATGTATGTTTAGACTTTTTCACCTACTAACATCTAATAATGTAGTATATTCTAATTGACAATTGCCAAATAATAACTTCTGGTCCTGTACGCCGAAAGACAGCGGATGCAGGTGGATCTCTGAGACTGAATTTATTTGAAGAAAGCTTGAAAGCTTAGCTTGGAGGGCAAGTAGGTGTGCCTAATTTTATAATCATAAGCCAAATGATCCTTTATAAACATTTTGCTTACAACACAATTGGTGATAGCCTCAAGCGTTTGAACCATAAGTGAAGGTCGAAAGAAAAAATGACAACCTCCGCTCGGTAGGATACCACACCACACCCACCACCAGTAATAAGATAAATGCTGTCTGTATAATCACCTTTTTTTTTTTAAAAAAAAAAAAAAAAACCTTAGGTAAATTGTTTTTCTTTCACTTTATTACTCTATTGAATATGTCTAATGAATATCGGTCTGGCATTATTAAAATAAAAAAAAAGAAACGGTTTTCAATAATCGACTGGTATTTAATGAAGGTCAGAACTTAATAAAAATTGTATATATATAAAGTTTTTACTAACTGATATTACAGCAAACGCGAAGTGTACTGACTGTGAAGAAGTAGGACATTTCAATAAAAACTGCTACAGGTGCAAGTTTTACAAAGAAGTAGCCGTTGATGATGGTACGGCAATTTAATATTATACTATTTATATATAACAATGATCACGTATAGTTGGAACTTCAAACAAGAAAAGAAAGCAAAACGAAAGTTTGAAGCAAGCTAAACAAACAGCAAAATGACAAAAGACCACAAATGATAATGTGACTAATCTTCGTTGTAAGAAATGCTGTGGTGATAATCATTCTACAATAAGATCTCCCTTATGCCCATACAATATAACACCTGAAGACAATAAGATTGTTTTATGATGTTTTCAATTTTGGGAAACTGCGATACAAAGGGTGAGTATAGATAGAGATTGTATCAAATCAGGCTTATGTATTTCTTACTTTTATATTTGTAGCATTGCTGAATTAACACCAGATGGAAACTACCAGATCCTTTTTGGAAACTTGATACGGACTGATGGGTTTGTTGTGGATTTTTTGTTTCACAAAAGATGTCAAGCCAGTTACGGTCCTTCTTTGCAACGCTTTGAGTTGACTCTTCGCGACTTCACTTTACCAGAAGTAGCAAAGGATTATCATCGAATTTTTGTTGACCCTGGGCGAAAGTCTGTATTCACTGCCGTGAGTGGTTTAAACGAGTCTAGGCACCCAATAATCCGCTGCAGTACTATAGAGTATTATCATCTTACTAGTTCGACTGTTTTTTCTGCCCAGCAGTAATTTTTGAAAAGTCAAAACATAATAGAGGATATTGAATCAAGAATTCCCACAACCAAGACATCAAACCCGGAGCGTTTTTTAGACTATGTTCAATATCTGTTTGACAACATAAATACTTTATTCAACTTTTACAATTCCAGTACTGCAAAAAAAATGCTTCCAACTTTATCAAGGGAGGCAAAAAGCACAAGAAACTATGGTCAATATGCTTATAAACGGTGACACCAAATATAATCGAAGTAGGAGAAACAAGAAGAGGCGGAAAAAGAAGAAACGAAAGAAGAGACCAAATAAGAACGATGCTATCAAGTATAAATAGTTTCTACTTGAATATATTCAAACAGTTATTAATTCAATTTTTTTTTCTTTAGAGAAAAACTGAACAAATGGAGGCCCATTAAATACAAAGAAGACAAGACGAAGGTTCCTCTGATAGTATTTGGAAGTGGAATGTTCAATAAGGACACCAATAAGATCAGGACGCTCAGATGTGGGGTGACGGGTATTTTATGGTGCGCGCTGAAAAGGCGAGAAGCGGCTGGACAACTTATCACAATCATAATTGACGAGTTCGGAACATCCAAAGTATGCAGTAGATGCCAAACTCTAACCTTGATGCCAGCCTCGCCTGTTACTAAATTGAATGTGCTGACCTGTTCTTCTTGCCATACTCTTCTTTGTCAAAGAGACATTGATGCCTTCCGAAACATGATGACAATCTCTATCAGCATTTGGCAGGGACGAGAAAGACCAACACCTTTTCAACGCACCACTACCACCACCACACCGCCACAGTCATCGCTGTAATAAACACAGCTTACCTAGTGTATTTAGATGACCACATTCACTCAACTTTTGTTATTTGGATGCTTTACAGGTAAGCGTCTGAAAATTATGTTTACTTTGTTTAAAAACTAGTCTCACTTCTTCTAAAGTAGAAATACTGTAGTCAAGCTAAATTCTTACTTCGGTCTATCTACTCTCTGGACGATACTCTTGTTTCCAAGTTTTTACCACACATACGCCCTTCTTCAAGCCACTCTCAATGGTATAAACTTTCGAAAACACCTATTTGGCAACGGTATACTGCTTCTTTTGACGATAATACTTATGATCCTCGTGCTTTTGCTGGTATCTGTAAAGCATACCTGAAAGATAATCTTGGTGATCGACGAAACAGTAACAATGCTGTTCTCTTGTCTGCCTGCCATCCTAACCTAGGTATCGATCCTATCCTCTGGTTACCTATGTCAAATGCAGAACGCAGCCGAATAGTCCGCTGGCGCCTAGATTGGTTACCTGGTGGTGTCCCTAAACCGTGCATATATCATCCTAATGCCTTATCCACAAGATCTCGTGCTATATGGTACCTACATATGGATTGACAATTACAAATGCCTTTGACCGAACCCGACCCTTTGTCCTTCCTCTTGAATAAGCTGCCAAATAAACAAAAACGCAGGCCACCAATCTCATCAACTTTCAACTCATCTGTCTTTTCCGTCTAGACGATTCATTGGCCTGCTATGTGTCTTCTTCTTTTTGAACTTGACTATCTCCATCATGGTAAACTTCTTCCAGAAACCCCACCCCCCCTTGGGTACAAAACTTGTAAACTGGTTACGTAACTCTGGATCTAGTATTTGTTGATATATCTTGCTTTTCGTCTTCCCTTCTCTTTCTTTTTTTACCCTTTTGCCTATCAAAAGGTTTTTTAGTACACTTTTATCCTTTCTCGAACTGACCCGGGCAATCCAATACGCCAGTATTATGTGCTCATGTGGGTTTTTTTTTAAATTTTTGTTATAAATAAAATAATTCTTTAATACTAATACAGCATAATTAAAATTGCTGTATAGTCATTGGTTGTTTTTAAATTTGAACAAGCAATAATAATAAGGCTTGGTTTTACTTTATGCGATTATTTTTGTTTTATCTGTTTTCTTTATTTCACATAGATACATAAAAAAAAAAAAAAAAAAGTTAAAAAATGAGTGAAATGAGTATAGGTTGGAGTGATGTTTATGAAGCATGGAAAGCACATTATGATAGATTTGATGAAACTGTTAGAAAAGCTTTTAATCACTTTTATAATCCTCAACTCTTTTTTGGTCCTAAATCGGCTACAGTGGGCATGCCATTAAGTGTTGGTAAAAAAAAAAAAAAAAAAAAAAAAAGATAGCATAAAGATCAATCTATCTATATAATAGTTGATTCTTAACTTTTTTTTTTTTTATTGTTCAGGAGCATCTGCATTAACAGGTCGATACGAAGTCGTAATGTCTCTTAACATCTGTGAGCAGCTTTTAAAGTTTATTACGCAAAGTATTCCTCAGGTACCACCACCTTCGTTAAGTGATTTAACACCCGTACTTTATGAGATCTCTGAAAGATTCAACGCTACAGAACCTAATGTATTTTTAAAGTATCAACAAAAAGTGAAAAGGAAGAATAAACAACGTGAAAAATTACGTATGGCAAAAAGAGAATTAGAACTTGCTAAACGACTTTTAAATGGGGATCAATACGTTTTTATCAGTTTAGATATAGAAGCTTATGAATCAGATCATTCCATCTTACTAGAGATAGGCTGGTCTATGTATGACGCCAAGAATAAAAAATTAATGGACCAGCATTATGTGAATAGCAATTATCGACATCTTAAAAACGGAAAATTTGTGGCTGACCAGAAGGAGAAGTTTCTATTCGGTACATCTGTATGGTGTACTATGAAACAAGCTTTAATAGAGTTAAGAAAGGATTTAGACTGGGCTGTACAACGTGATGGAGGCTTTATCCTTGTTGGCCATGGTCTTGATAGTGACCTCAAATATTTACATAAAGAAGGATTTCATTGGCCAACAGCGGATGGTAGTGGTGAGACACTAAACATTGAAGAATCTGCAAAGATTGCCATTTTAAATACAGATACAATCTATGCTGCCTCTATTAATAATCTTCATAATCCCCCCTCTCTAGGAAAGACACTTGACTTGTTACATATTGAAACTTGGAATCTTCATAATGCTGGTATATTATCATTATTATTATATTAAAACAATAGACTATGCATACTAACTCTTTCTCCTTTATTTCAATATAATAGGTAATGATGCCCATTATACGCTTCTTTTGTTAATGATGCTTGTCGGCGATAAGTCAAATTTTTCCTAAAACCTCCCTCTTCTTTTAATGTAAATATTTATAAACCTTTTTTCAGCACCATTTTATTAAACAAGATGATTGTAACAGCAATCATGATATTTAATAATACACGCACACACACACACACACACACTTATGGTATAAATCAATCAATTTATTTGTAAGGAGGAGTTACTAAAGATATTGAACTAGAAAGAAAAAAAAAGATAGTTAATTATTATGAAGGAATAAATAAATAAATATTTATGTATAAAAGAGAGACTTACGGTGAAAAATCATTTCCTAGAGAAAGTGATTGAAGTAATAAGCTAATATCCGTATTTGTAATTTCATTATTTCTCTTTGCAAGACTGATCAAAGTCAATGACTGCAAATGATTCATATCATTTTGTAATTGTCCAGATAAAGCTTCTTTTAGATTTTCTACTCGAATAGCTTGTTTTTCATCTTGTTCATGATGCTAATACATGTAATGTAATATATTTAATGATAATGGTAACAATAAATTGCTTATATTAACTTACGTCTAAATCAGATTTTGCCCAAGGGATAGTTAATTTAGCCTTCAAATCATTTAAATTACGAGAAGTTCTAATTCTAAAAGTACGGTCATGATTCACTAATAAGATATGATGATTAGGTATATGATGTTATATTATATTATATTCTCATTTTACCATATACGTTTGATCCCCATTCAACCATTAGTTTATTCTCTAGATCGGTTCCATCAGTATCATCTTCATCTCTTAAGGGTCCTTCCTTTGATAATAGATCAACTACCTTCTTCCTATCTACAAAGACACTAACTAGAGTATTGTTATCAGATTCTAACTCTTCTAATCGATTAACATCATTTTCTTCATCTACACCAGAAGAATCTTGATCCAAAAATACAGAAGAATATTCATTCAATTGAATACGTTCGTTCTTTAATCCTTCTGCATACTCTACCAAACTACTAATACGATAAAAATTTCCTGTCATCATGAGCCACTCAATCACGATAGCTGCCACAGCTCTTTGATGTGATGCTTGTTTGATAATAGAGTCTTTTACCAAATCTTGGATTTGAAAAATTAAGGGAGTTGCTTTGATAATACTATCTGCTCCAAATTTAAAAGTTAAAGCGTTCAAAATCTTATACATCGTCTTCATATCCTGTTTAGTTAAGTTATCTATTTGAACCCAATCTAAAAGAGATTGATACAACTTATTGACAAATAACACATCTCTTTGTTGATTCAAAGTATGCTATAAAGATAGATGAATAAGAGATAGATAAATAAATGATGATTGTATACAAACCTTTGGATAAGGTCTAAAAAATAAGAATATACACACAAAAAAAAAAAATCAAAATATATAAAAATAAGAAGAGTGAGTTGTGAAACAAAATTGATTGTTATAATTGAACTTACTCTAAAGTAAAGTCATTTTCTGAAGTAGCTTCTAGATAGTCTACAAGAATTTCTGCAAATTCAATTCTTGTCTCTGAAATATTCAAAGGTTTAATTTAAACATGATTAAAAGAAAAGAAATAGAAATAGATATGAGTCTTTACCTGGTATTTTATCAGTTAATAAACCTAATGCAGGAATCCAAACATCTAATGTAATCAAGTTACTGTAAAGAGAAGTATTCTCATTATCACTTTCAGTATCTTCTTTTTGTGCTTGTTTAGATGAAGAAGCCTTTGCGACAAGATCTAAGCATTTTAAAACTACATGTCGATATTCCTTCATTAGTAAACCATCTATTGTGTCTAGAGTATCGTGATTCACTTTTAACTTTGAAATAATATAGCTTGTAATATCATTGAGTTGATTCAGATAATAGGTTTGAGATGCTAAGCCTCCAATACAATGTGCTAAACCATATTGAATAGTATATTGCAATGTATCCTGTACATCACTATCTGAAGTAGTAGACAGTTTATCTTTAAATGATGTGAACTCTTGAACTGATTTAATAAGATGTATAAAAAGTGTATTAAGTACTTCAAGGACAGATATACCAACAAGAGGTATATTGGCGTTAAGAATGATATCCAAAATAGAAACAAGTGAAGCATACTTTTGTTTGCTATCTTTCTTTTCTACATTTGTTGCTTTTTTAACATTCTCTAATTGATAAAGAATCTCTGAAACAAGGAGATAACGATGTTGTGACTAAATAGAGTAAGAATACATTAATAAATAAACAAACTATGTTAACTGAACACTATATACATACTTGAAGCGAGTCAAGTACCAATTCCATCATAGATACTACAAAATTAGGTGGCCACCATTTTTCTTCAGCATCCATAAATCTAAACAAATAAACAAACAAACAAACAAATAAATAAATAAATAAATAAAACGTCAAATCTGTATATAAATAATCTATCGAGTAATTTACGTGAATAATGGATTCAGTGATAATTTGAATGTTCCACTATTTGTTTTGCTATACAAGAGAGCAACTGTTTTCGCAGCTAAAACTTGTACAGAATGAGCATTTAATGTTTCATGTCCAATAGTAGGTTCTCGAATATCTAAATCCTCATTATTACTTGTAAAAAAAAAAAAGAAAAAAAAAGATGAGTAAGATTTACGATAGATATGATTAAACTATCTTATTTTACCTTTGAGCTAAAGCATTTGCCGGATTTTTAGAGTTAGATAATGCATGAATAAGGGGCAATAAAATTAAATCAAGTTGAACTTTAAAATTGGATGCTTGAAGAGCATTTGATGTCACTGCTGCTTGTAATGCCTTTTGACCAATATACCTCATTCTAAAATAAAAAGAGTGAATAAATAAAAAGAAAAAGTATACATAATAGACTTACTGTAAATTAAAGGTTGTTTCATTGCTATCATTAGAACAAAAGCTTGCAAATTTCTTCAAGAGATATTCATAATCTTTGGTAAACTCAGAATCAATTCCTAATGTTGATCCATCATGATAACTAGTAAATATGACAAACTTTGGTCAAGTATATAATTAAATTCTAATCTTATTATTATTCTTTATATACATATATATATGTTATATATCTTACCACTTGACAAGTAAGATCCATTGTTTCAATATCTTTTGTTTCCAACATCATCTTGAAGATCTTAACAATGTACTTTGAAAATAGATTCAAGTCTCGATGACAAGCTTCAATTAAAGCCTTTATAATTTGTAAAGAGATTTGATTGTTTCTATTCAATTCAAATTTACATGAGAAAAAAAAAAAGTAAATGTTGATCTATATTCATCCACTAGCTTACTGTTTCCTTCCTTTGGCTGTATCTCGTTCCACTTTTTTTTCTAAAAACAAGCCTACTTTTGTTAGTTTTACAGGTCTCGAGCTAGCATAGAATACTAGATAACTAAGCTCAGAGGATTTAGGACTATTTTCACCCTCTTTCTCGGGATAACAATTATTGATATATGATGCATGCTTGACATAACTAGTAATAAATTGTAACTATATTAATTTATTTATTCTAGGAAAAGATAAAAAAAAAAGAGCTTTCTTTTACAGATGCATATTAAAAATTCACCAAATAATGGGAAAAGAGAGAGAGAGAGAAAAAAAAAAAGGGCTTCATAATTTGTATATTTAAATATATATTTTTTATTTATTACACTCGTCTGAGTTAATAACAAACTTGGTAAATTAACACGACGACAAGGAATTTATTATTGTATTTGATGAGTAACAGACAAGAACATGTGATAATTTTTTTTTCTTTTTTTTTAAGGTACTGAAGTTTTCCTTCTTCTAAAGTTGGAAAGTAAAAGACGAGACTTGAGTTGAAGTTGATGATGATTTTCTTCCACATTAAATAGAGAATTATTTGGTTGTCGTTGTCGTTTTAATTTAAATGAAAAGGATTTTAATAAAGTGGACTTATTTATATGATGAGTCGTAGCAAGAAGAAGAGGAGGAGGAGGAGGACTGTTTTCTATATTAGCATAGACAGACTCATTATTACTTAATCGATGTAATACACATAAAGGCTTTCTTCCTAGCTTATTGTTATTAGAGTGCTGCTTCTTTTTTGATTTCAATGATAGAATATAAGTTTTAAATAAGGATGATCTTTCCTTTTTCTTTAAAGGTAGAGAGAGATGTTGTTGTTGGCCATAACCAGTTGCAAGGGATTTCTTATTCTCTTTGTGTAAGGATACATTTTGTATCGTCATTACTTTTCTACTATCATTATCATTATCATTCTTGATATGCTGTTGTAATTTCCAATGATTTATTAGAGCAGAAATGATCCAAAAGAGTGAACTATAAATCTGTGCCCAATATTGGTGGCCTGTATTCTTTATCTGATTTTGTATAGTTTGAATTTTTAAGTTTTTAAAATATCTCTTTTGTAGAGATGTCATTATAAAAAAGAAAGAAAATGTCAATGAGTAAAAGAAATGAATAGAAAGATGATATTTATTATTATTATTTAACATGCAAATAAAAGGGGCAAAGGATATACTTCATTGTAAAAAGGAAAAAAAAAAAGGAGAAGGTTATATAGAAATAAAAAAAAAAAAAGAAGGGAGTGAGTCAAGTATACAAGGAGTACTTAATACTCTTCAAAGTGAATAGATATTATTGTACAGTTTTAAAAAGCTAAATTTAAACTTTTCTATAAACTATGTATCTCAACGTTTACTGGAGATCGCTATAAAATATACATCTACATGATTCATTCAAAGGGAAAACTCTACATATATTAAAATAAAAGTGCATCTTCTTATACCTCTTTCGCTCTCTATAATTTAGATTGTTATTTCCTTCCCCTCAATTAATTTTAATTGTCCTTATAAATATTGTCTTTTTTTTTTCCCGCAAAGACAAATATATAAATAGTCTTACTATTCTTCGAAACAACGACATCCTTTCACCCTTTTCTTTCATATCAAATAATAATACACTTTGTATATTTAGTTATTTATTTCTTCCAAACTGAAGAAGAAGGTTTTAACCAATTAGTTTATTAAGCATTTTTTTTTCCTTTGGTAATGTTGAAAAAAAAAACAGCATCCCTCTTTATTAGATCAAATTATGTAATTCTAGTCAAGTAGAAGCTAATTTATAATCATAAAGGTATCTCAATACTATAGTAAAATACAATAGCAAAAAAAAAAAAAAAAAAAAAAAAAAAGTAAATATAATTTATTCAAAAGATAATTATGAAGAAGTATCACGGATATATATTCTTCCACCATCTTTGAGCGGGTTCGTTCATTAATACCAAGTTCATGTGCAACTTGTGCAGTTCCCCTACTATCTTCAGGTAAAAGGTTCATTTTATCAATGAAATTTATGTTTTATGAATGTCTGTAATCATTGTACATAACTGATATAGTGTTTTCTGCTTTTTTAAGTTTTCGGTACCCTTTTTTTTTTAAACTATTTCCATTTCTTTTTACTTGTGAATGATTCTCATCATTGTTTCCAAAGCAATATGCGAACCAGTAATTTCAGCCAACTCAATCTCCATGGAATCAAAAAGTTTTTCTTTTTCCTTGTTTATCATACATAATATCCTGGTTATTCTCAGGATAGAAAGTAGTTTGTATGTTAATTAATACGCTCAACTATTCAAAATGAGAAGAAGCTTGTATCAAACTGGAATTTATAACTACTGCAGTAATACGATTCAATTTTTATTATCAGTTTTTTTTTTCGAATTTTAAATGGCGAGTGGGCCAGATCTGAAGTTGGAGAAGGAATAAAAAATCTCCTAAGAGACAAGAGGGGGAGGGGAAAGAGAGAAAGAAAAAGGAAAAAGTAAGGAGAGCATAAAGTAAAAAAAGAAAAAGAAAAAAAAACAAGTAAAAGAAACAAATAAAATAGCTAAAGAAATCAGAGGAGAATAAACAGAAAGACTAGCACTATAGTTTGGATAACCAGTTCAACAATTTTTAACCAGGATCAACAGGAGAAGGAGGAAGTTTATTGTGGAACAGGTAGCCTAATTCTTGTAACAAAGCGCACATGATGGGTCAACGTATCAGCCAACTGATGTAACCTGAATTGGTGGCAAGATTTAGTCTTTGGAAATATATTAAAAAGGAAAGATATGGGGTCACTAACAGGACGGGGCAGGAACAGCTGCCGATGCACATGGAAGCACTCGACAGCATGGTGTCGACTCCAATTCACAGTGGGATAATATAGGTATTCCTTAGGTTTGCCGCCAGGTAGCCAAACCCAGACGCCAGTAAAGCACATGGCTACTCTCAGAAGGGGACATTGATAACCAGAGAACAGGATCTGGTTTCAGGGTAGGTCGACAAGAAGATAGCAACACGGATGTAGAGTTTATATACATCTCTTTAAATTGTTTTTTTTTTCCAGAAATTGACAGAAAAGTTGATGAAATTTGCGCTTGTCTAGTGTTGATAGTATGAGAGGAGGGGGGGGGAGCATAGTGCTGCAGCAATACAGTATTTCTACTTTAAATTCGAACGATGTTAGTTTTTTTTTTCTTTAGACGAATCAATATTGATTTTCAGATATTCAGCTTATCAATTTAATAGCACATGTGTTTGTTCACTAGAAGCTGTTATTAGGTAGCATTTTTTTTTTTTTTTTTAAAAAAAAAAGTTTTAATGCTGCTGTCTGTTACTTTCAGCTGTTAATTGTAGATGAATGAAAGCGGTTTGTATGCGCTCAGGTTGAAATATTATGTATAGTATGATCACTACTATTGCCAAGAAGAAGTATCGTGGTATCATAATTAGTTCATCTCCTCCCTCCCCCACCTCTTCACTCATTATATAGTATATATACTTTTCTTCTACTCAAAAACTCATGCTGCCTTAAACCATTAATTGAGCTTGCCCCCTTTGGGGGGGAAACAGTATCATATTGAAGATAATGTCCCACGTTTTAAGTTAGATTTACATAGATAGTAAACCGTTTTCAAAATAGCAATGATGATTTATAATATACTTAGTTATTGACTTGTCATCTTTTCATTCTCAAATGGAAAGAGTGTACGTTTAATGTCTCTGTAATATTCATGTAAAACAGATAAAAGAACGAATGAGATACGATTATCAGAGCATTTTATGTCTCTAAAAGAAAGGCAAAGAAATATCAACATTACTGCAAAATAATACATTAAAATCAATTATATGAAAACCGGTCTGATAATCTGTAAAACATTTATTCTGTTTACTCAGATAAAGCGCCATTTACTCAAGAATTCCTTCTGGTTCAATTCGATTAATCGTGCCGAACTACAAGAGTTACCCGGACAGAAGGGGCGCATGTTTTTAAACAGTATATACACGGATGGATATACTTGTAGAATTTCTTCTGCAAGGAGAGTCCCAGAAGTTCTTGATGAAGACAAAGTAAATCTTGAAATGGCTGATTTCAACACAAATGAAGTTGAAGAATTTTTCCGTACTTGTTTTCTGGATTCTGGCTGTAAGAATGCATATATAGTGTATTATGGAGATGAACAGGTTAGGTCTCTGACAGTGAATGAATACTATCACTTTTCTGGGTCTATAAATCGAGCAAGAGAACAAAACGCCTTAAAAATTGGACAAGGCATAAAAGATTTGGAGACTCGAATCCCGACGACTAAAACTTCTTCTGTTGATTCTTATATCAACCATATAGTATATGTACTGACTCATTTGGATCGTTTTTTTTTTTTTTTTTTTTTTTTGGCTTCTATAACTTTAGGACAGCTTCAGATAAATGGAATAATTATTATGGAAGACAGTGTGCCCTCGAAGAAGCTTGTAATATTTTGATTAATAGCGGAAAAAAAATATAATCGCAATAGAAGAAAGAAGACTGGTTTCAATAGAAAGAAAAGGAAGAAGATGGCTGGGCGAAGAAGTACTAATAGGCGCAACCCCCCTATAGAAATAAGGTAATAAGCTATTTTCCAAGTTTATATGATCATCCTACTAACAACTATTCATATTTTAGAAGAACTAACCACAAAAGCCACTTTAATGAAGGGGACACGGCAAAGATGCCTTTAGTAGTTTTTGGTGATGGTGTAAAAGGGAGAAGCCATGTAAAATATAGAGGACGAAGAGTTGGCGTTTCGGATATTATCTATAAGAATTTGAAAAGAAGACAAAACCTTGGTGAGGTTCTTTTGCTTGATATAAATGAATTCCAGACATCTTCTGTAAGTCATTACAATACAAGTTAACGCTTATTAAATCAACTAATTGTGCTTCTATAAAACAGGTTTGTCCAAATTGCAAAGAAATGAACCTTAGAAATCATAGAGTTGAAGATAAATCTTTCTTTAATATATTGATCTGCAACGATTGTAGTATATTCTGGAACAGAGATATCCTCGCTGCCAAAAATATGATGTTCATCGCATGTCAAATCTGGGCTGGTATGGACCGACCAACAATTTTTACACGTCAAAATTGACAACGCGCCACATAGAACGTGGTTGTTTTGCGTCTTTGGACAAAAAACTTAAAGATTACTACAGGTAAGAGAGTATATAAATACATGACTAATAGAAAGTTGATATATACCAACACTCAATATGCCCTATTTTTGTATCTGTGTTCTATTTTCCTATTGCTGTCCCATATTCCCTTCCGTGTCCCATTTTCACATCCGTGTCCTAGTTTAATTTGGAAATAACCAAATTTTTTTTTTATTGGCCCAACCTAGTTTCGTCGACTGTAAAGTCGAATCAATATAGTTAATATATTTAAGCAGAGCCATCAATTTAATTGGCTACAATTGAAAATAAATAAAAATAAAAAATAAAAGGCTTGCCAATCATTTTTGGATTGGCTGTTTATTAGATGCACTGCCAGGCGAAAAAATTTTCCCTTTATATCTTTTTTTATTTATTATGAACATTACACGACGTAACATTCGGAGTGTAGTTCTACTAGCATTATTATTAATATTTTTAGCTTTTATACAAACAAGGACAAATGCAGAAGAAATCCCTAACAAGTCTTTACACATTGTTAAATTAGATTATTTTCATAATATACCAACTATTGATCCTATTTTAACACCAACTATAACTGGACCGGACAATGATGATAATATCATTATTACAACCATTACTACAACCCAAACATTAAATGTAGAACCAACATTAGCAGGGAAGACGCTTACAACATTAAAGAAAACAACAATAGCATTAGACCAATCAGGAGCAGCAGTAACAACAACAGAGTTATTAAATAAACCAACATTACCGACCACATTAGATGCATTTTCAACTATAGGGCAAACAAAAAAAATAACAACTAAAGATTCAACAACAACAACTACCACCACCACCACTACTACTACAACTACTACTACTACAACAACTACTACTACTACGACTACAACAACTACTACGACTACAACAACTCCTACAACAACTACAACTACTACAACCACAACAACTCCTACAACGACTACAACTAGTACTACTGCTACGACTACTGCTACGGCAACAACTATGACCACTAATCCTATTACTACAGATATCACCATCACCCCAACAATGTTGACTAGCAGCTCATTAGAAACAAGTGCAATAGAATCTATATACTTATCTAACTTGACTACAACATCAATAATGACAAATTCACAATTTTCACTTTTACCTAATGCAACTCAGTCAAGAACTGCACTTCCTTCCTTCACTTCTCCCATCACTAATAGTTCTATTTCAAATGTTACATATATGAATACAACAGATCCACTTGTTCAATATGTACTTGAATGCCCATATGAAGAAAGTTTATGTAATAAAGTCGGTACATCAATACGTGCTGCAATTGACCAATTTACTGAAGTAGTTAACGTAAAAAATAGTTTATTGTAAGTTGAGAGAGGAAAAAGTTATTTAAGAAAATAGATACATTCCATTAATTGTTATTCTTTTTATTTAAAAAGGATCAAAGTAAAATATTCTAGTTTTTGTAAAGATTATGGTTGTGCTAATGATAGCTTTGGCTGGGGATTACCATCTTCTCAGGTAAAAAAAAAAAAAAAAAAAAAAAAACATAATAATAATAACAATAGTAAAAAGACTAACAAAACAAAAACAAAAGTTTATTTTACCTTTTGAAGACGGAGCAGATCTAAACTTTATTTATCCACAAGCTTTAGCGAAACAATTAGCACCTTATAGTAGTACATCTGTGTGGGCAAAGTACGACATATTGATCAAGATAAATCATGATGTTCATTTGCGTACAATAAAAAGTAAAGAGAGTGAAACTGATGAAGTACTGTCTAATGGAGTCTTTTGGTTTTTTGTAAAGTTTTTTTTTCTTCTTTCCTTTTAAATGTGATTCTTACTATGCTAATTTTATTTTATTATAAAGAATAATAGTTATTCTCCTCCTATAAAACCTCATCAAATTGACTTTCGTTATATTGTTTTGCATGAATTAATACATGGATTTGGGTTTTTAAGCTCTTGGGCAGCGTATTTTTGGGCAGAAAAATCCCCTTTTCGTATGTTAGTAGATGGAGTGATTGACCCACTTGAACTTCAATTAGTAACGCCTTTTCCTTATTGGTTTATTACAGAAGATACAGGACCCACCTATGTTACTGGATTTCAACCTACAACTATATTTGATAAGTTTTTAGTTAATATAGATACAGAACTTAATGTTACAAGTGTTTCTCAACTATCTGATCTTGCATTTGGCATGCAGAATTTTTGTGTACAAGATAGTAATGCATTTATTGTCAATTTTATTCGAGGTTTTAATGCAGCCAATCAATCAACAATGGCACATAAATTATGGCTATCTATGTCTCAACCAGAGACATTAATATTTAAATTTCAATCACCGACAATAGCCAATAGTAGTTATAATTTAATACCTTATTTAAATCAAACATACAAGTCGATGACTTTATTAACAGGAGGGAATATATTTTCAGCACCGAATTTTGCTTATCCAGAAGTCATCATGAATCGACCAGGGATCATGATATCACACCTTGATAATCAATATTGGGATACAGTTGATTTTTTAATGACACAAAAATATCATAAGGGAAAAAGATTAGAAGAATTAGTCAACCATTATTATAAAAAGATACCTATAATTAAATATAATACGACTGTTTCATCTACAAATTTAACGATTATCGAAAAAAGATACATGTCACCTATTGGTCCTGGTATATTACGTATATTAGATTCTATGGGATATTCTACTGTTTTAACAAAGACAAATTACACGACTGATGGAAATGTAAAGACGCCGAAATCACGTTCATTATGTGATGATAGTAATACAAATCATGGGTTAAAACCAACACCTAGTTCCACTTCACATGCTATAAAACTGCATAATAACATTCTATTGATTATCTCTGCTTTAATTCTTTCTATTAAATACAACATGAAATAAATAACTATTATTATGACACATAAAAAGAATAAAATTTTTTATGCAACAAAATTAATAATAAAAACAGAAAAAAAAAAAAAGAAATAAATAAAAAGAATATGATTGGATAATTCTGTTCATGATATAATAATACATGCTGATAATAATTAACTGAGATTTAAAAACAGAAAACAAAAAAAAAACACAAAAGTTAAAGAGGAACCCTTTTTTCATGCGCATAAAGCATTGAAATTTCTATATTTTGTTTTCTCCGAAAAAAAAAGTTAGTCATTGGTTTGAAACTACAACTGATTCCGATCAAAAAATAAATAAATATAAAGGGATCGCAAAATTTATATTTTTATTTGTATATTTATTTATTTATTTATTTCCTTTATTTTATTTTATTTTTTTTTTAAAAAAAATAATATGCAAATCAAACCACCAATGCCTACATCTACTGCATTATTTAAATCTAAATGGAACTATTTTATGACAAAGTTATCAATACATCATTCAACTATAAAAGAAGAAGACAATAAAGAAGAATATCAACCAAGGAGAAAATATAGTGATGACATATCAGTGGGCACATTTGACTCCAGTATTAGTATGAAAGATAAATTTAAGCAAGCAATACCTTTCTTTCGTCGTAGAAGTTCAAATAATCAAAATCATTCAGAAGAATCCTTTAATAATGCACCTATTTCTTTTAATTATTCTAAAGAAATTGAAAAACTTTATTCTTTATACAATTTAGCTGTAGATGAGGTAAAATTAAATCAAAAATTATAATTTCAAATTATCAATTTTTTAACCTTTTTTTTATTATTATTATTTATAGCTAAATTATGCTGAAGATTCACAAGGATCTTCTTATTATTCTGGAGACCTTGAAGCCGCACGTGAAGCATTGAATAATTGTAATATTTGCTTTTTGACACTATTTCAGAATTTAATACTACATCATAATACACGTGAAGAACTTGAATTATGTATAGCACCTAAACTGTTAAAACTTCAAAAAAGAGTTAATGATTTACCAGAAGCTACTGATAATAATAATAATAACCATCATTAATTTTTGTAAATATTATATTCATATACCATGTATTTATTCCCCTTCTTTCTCTCTCTTAATATACACTCATACATACATACATACATACATACATACATCCACATATAAAAAGTTTTTTTTAATTTTTTTTTCCTCTTACTCCCAATACAAGATACCTCTTTTTTGGTTTTTTTTTTTTTTTTTTTTTTTTTTTTTTTTTTTTTTTTGTTACCCATGTAGTAGTAAGAAAGGGGGGAAGATTAACTCAAATAATAAAAAAAGTAACAATAACAACAATAAAGTTGTCGTTGTTGCTGTTCTCTTTTTTTTTTTTTTTTTTTTGTCGCAGCTTAAATGTAAAAGGTAACAACTACTGGATTTTACTCTAAATTGGTACGACTGTTTTTTTTTGTACGACTAGTAAATAAAATTGAGATAATTTGCCTTTTTTTTTTTGGGACAAATTGAAGATAGAAATTGGGATGGGCAACTTTTTTTTTTGAGACAAATAAAATAAACTTTTAGGACAAAATGATTTTTTTTTTATTTTGGGTTATGTAGCTAATGTAATCCATGTTAATTCCTAAAAGATTTAGTACCAAAATAAGAATGTAAATCTTCTGTTATTTAATCCCAAAAAAATTGGCTCGTAGCTGTAGCCGTAGTCGTAGTCGTTGCTTTTTTTCTCAACAACCAAAAAAAAAGTTACCCGTCCCAATTTCTATCTCTAATTTGTCCCAAAAAAAAAGGTAAATTATCTCAATTTTATTTATTAGTCATACAAAAAAAACAGTCGTACCAATTCAGAGTAAAATCCTGCAATTAGTAGGAATAAAATATCCTATCATCGTTACACGTAACCATTTACACACATATTCATTATTATTTAACTTAAATAATAAACATTTAGGCGATAATATTACCAAATATGAATATACATTATTTGTTGTAATGATTATCTGGTAAGAAGGGATAATTCTTTTGTTCTATCATTCTTATTTTATGTACTTTTTTTTTCAAGTGACTATTAAACTTTCTCGTCAATTCTATCTTTCTATTGTCATCGTTTATTCTTTTTAACTGTAGTAGTTAATAAAGATGATTAGAGTTTCAAATAGTATTTAGTCTATGCATATGATGGCTAAACATACTTGACAGCATTATGTGAAATGATAGTATAAGTTGAAAAAAAAAAAAAGTCATCAGATCTTTAAATGCCTTCGAGTTCTTTATAAAGAATATGTATAAACATTATAATCAAGTACAAAAAATAGGGGCTCTTTAATATCATTAATTTATTCTGGGTTTTCTTTTGTAAACAGATTATGATAAATAACGTGTACTTGAAAACTTATTTCTTAAAGAAGAAGAATATTAAGAAAAAAAAAAGGATTTTCTATCATTGTTTAACATTCTTCCCAAATTAATTTTTATAAAGTTCATACGACAATAAATAAAATTCTATAATAGAAAATATATCAGATTTAATTATTATGAGTCCCTCATTTCATTTTTTTACTATTTTTGGAAAGCGATTTTAATTTCAATGAAGATTGATTTGTATTCATTGTTGTTAACAAAATTATTTTACTAATGATTTTTTTTGAAGAAAACGTGATAATTATGTTCACATGTAACATGGCTGCAGCCCTTTATTTATTTATGTAGGCTGGATGACACTTGACCTTTGAGGATAACATTTGTTACATAATGGAAAGATATGATTCTATAAATGGGGACTGAAAGAGTCATAATGTGCAACTATTCTTCTATCCATT